TTTCTAAAAGCAGACTTTCCAAATATCCCCTGTGCACTTATCTAATTCCCTTGTAGTTCCCATCGAATTGGTTCCATTGTTAGTGAATTTTTCCTTTGCTATTTCCTCTTCTACCAATAAGCCTCATCAGAGCCACTATAAATGAGTCCGTGAGTAGGTTGTGCGTTACCTACAGATGTACAACTCTTAGTTTCAGACAGTTAGAAATACTGCCATAGAGTTTTTCAGATCTCTTACCTAGGGTCACTGTAGCAGATCCGAAATGGTCAGCATCTAGAAAGAAATGATGGCATCCATCTCACCTATGGTCGTCTGCATGAGTGACAACAGATGACACTCTGGCCTTAGCATTTCTCCTTTTATGCCGCAAACAACTTCCGGCGACCTTTCTTACTGCTAGAAGTATCCAAAACCTTCCTGCGTCGGTGGCATAGTGGTTAGGACTCCCACCGACCATGCGCATGGTCCGTGGCTCGAACCCCCGCCGACGCACACCTGACATCAATGGTCGGCCTGCAAAATTTGGGCTACCGATATCACATGCTGAAAATTTCATACCTGTACCAAAAATACAGTGTGGAATAAAGACATAGTCAAAATAAACACCTACAGAAGAATGAGAAACATGAGAGGGACAAAAGTGAGCACAATATGGAAGACAACAGTGGCACAATACCGAAGATATGAGCAGTTATCGCATTTGGTTTATATCTGCTACCAATAAGTAATTCCTTTGCTAAATTCTCTTGTGTTTTGACGTCACGGCAGCTTCTAATTTTTTCCTTCAGTGTTTGAATTGATGCTCTACTTACAACGAAGGGAATAACTGATTATTTCGTACTACAGTGAGACTTGTGTCACTTGAAATCAGAATAGGATTTGTTGGCTTAACGAAGAAGTCAACAGTTTCAAAAGAAACCCACTTTGGTAAGTAACCCTAGATTAAGGTTCATCCTTTTAGAAACAGCATGAGTAGTGAGATGTTGCATAACTGTTTGAATATTACCAGTAATTATTTGAATATTATCAACCTACAAGTTCACTTACCGCAATTAGGTTAGATCCTTTCCAGCTGTACACTGCAGATTCCAGGTTATTTTTCACTTCAGGGTGCACAGATTAATGTCAATATATACAAAAAGTAAATGAACTGTAGTGGGTATTTAGACTTAAATTCATCCATCATATGGGAAGTTAGATTAAGGAAGATCTCTAACAAACTGCAAGAAAATTATTGTTATTATTTTGGAGAGACTAAAGAATCTAGTGAGACAGACGGAAAAATCATTGGTGCTAAATAACCAGTTCATAAGGAGAAGAAAAAAGGAATAAGTAGTGGTGAAACTAACGGCCCAAAAATTAACCAGAGGGGAAATAAGGCATCCATAGTGTTACTATATTAGTAAGGAAACTCAACAGTCGCAGTACAAGCAATTAGATGCATTAACACAATGGGATAAAACATGGCCCTGAGTCTTAAAAGTGATATGGTTAGTTAGAGGTTGACCAGCGAACTTGTGTTTATCAAACGTGTAGCCAACACCTGCCATGTGAAATGCACAACACAGATAAGAGAGACAGAAAACAAAATAAAATGATGAGAAATAATGGAATAATATAAAGTAAACAATAGTGAATCACCATGTGTTACTACCAAATTAAGCTATTCTACGGTGGAATTTTAGTGAGCCACAATGACAGCACTCCATTCTTAAAAATACCTTCCTCCCTAGTTATTTTAGATGAGACGGAAAACAAAGTTATTTGACTCACCTTTAACGAATATAATTTGCATAAGCTAAGAAAAACCTTCAGTTACATTCAGAATGAGAAATCAGCTGTGTGTATAAATATTTTGATGTCTCCTTGCAGTTGATCCATTGGACCATTTCCTTCCCACCGCCAAGGAGGTCGTTTAGACTGAACGCTACTTTCATGTAATCTTCTTGTCTAGTTTTAGTTTCCATAAACGGGTTGTTTTAATACACATTCATAATACATACATAGTTTACGTGGCTTAGAAACTAAAGAAACATCTGATCTTTAGTTTTCCTATATAGTTACTTAGTCCGTAATATTGTTATGTATATCTGTGCGATCGACTGACAATTAGCAGGTGTATTTCTTAGATATAATGTTTGTCCGGCGAAATTAAATGACTATATCATCAGCCTTTTGAAAGGTTAGGAGTTTAGGTAGATTAAAGTCCAGAATCAGACATATAAACGTGTCCAGACTCACCAGGATCTCTGGTCACCTGTTCAACAATTTTGCGGCTTTCTTTTGTCGCTAAATTTCGGTTAGCTGCTCTACGTAACATGTAAAGTCGATCAGGGTAGCTACCATAGCCTGCCCGTAGTACTTAAAATTTTATACTCTGCTTCGCTGCAGTAAATTACTCATGAGTAATGTGGTGTATCCCATGTCGCATTTAGCAATAGACTTGAACATCCTCCAGAGAGTATGGGAAAAGTATCGGGCTAACTGGAGACATTCTGGTCAGTGCGTTTATTTTGACAACTTCAAATCTTTGTGGCCTATTTGTGATTGTAAACGAAGGAAAATAGTGAACCCATAGGTATGCACGTATGTTGTGCAGCGGCTATAAGAAGAAACTTACGAAGTCAACAGCTTTTAGAAAAATTTGGGCGTCAGAAATGTCAGTGTTCCTCTAAGTACCAAGATCCACAGTCACCTGGGCGAATGAATATATCACTCATGGTACGAGTACTCTACAGATCACTAGTGCAGTGACTGTCAGACATTCTTGCAACATATTAGCTGCAACTGGTCATGATATCCAGTGAATGTTATTATGAAGTTTTGTATCTATATTATCCGAATTAGTCTAGCGTTTTTGTCTGAATAGTAATTAGAGAATCGTTGTATTCCCAAATTGCAACAGTCGGTGGAAATTCATTCAGAGTTTTGGTTTAGCTTAAAGGCTTAAAAAATATTCCCTAATAACTATCTGTACCTTTGTAATCCTTTCTTGACTCAACTGACAGTTGCTTCCACGATGTGGTAATTGTGCTTATTTATCGCAATGACCCAACGAACTACACTGGCAGGAACAAATCTTCCTAAAGGGTCCTACTATGCCAGAAATGTCGTTGGGCAAACGGGATTCGAACCCTGGAGCTTACTGGCTGACTAAAAGTAGAGTGCTTAAGCCATTAAGTAAATCACGTCTCCATATTAGTTAGTCTGACCCCCTAATTTTTATTTTGTCACAGTAAGCGTGATTTTTACTAGTATTTTCGAGAAATATGAAAAGTAAATATGGTGAATCTGTCATGTCCAGGATTTGCGTCAGTGATGCATACTATTTGTACACTTTCTGGAGAACATATAACAGGGGGATTATGGAACCCGCGGGTAATGGTTGCTGAGAGTTCATAATTGACAAATTCGAATGACATAGATATAGAAATCTAGTTTGATGGACTGATTTATCAGAAGAGTAACCTCCCAGTGTCAAATAATTTAAGTCTACACTATTGTACAGCTGTCATCAGTATGTTGATACAGAGCCAGATGTCAAGTGATTGATATTATCTGAGTAAAGAAAGCAACCACTGAAGAAGGTGAAAAACGAATCAGTTGTTAACTCTGAATTATTTGAGCAACTCCCACCCTGGTGTTGTGTAATTTTCCGGTTATATGGTCCTCTGAAAGTGCACAAAAAAAAACGTACCACTGTGGCCAATCTTGGGTATGACAAATTCATGATATCATGGCAAATGGCTCCCAGCCAACCTTCTACCTATCAGAAATACTCTCTGTCATAAAAGTGATTATGTTTGTTGGCTGCTTTTTAGTACGTAGGCAGTGTAATTCAACCTCACATTGTGACTTATTCAGTACTTGACCCTGCATGTGAATAGTGACTTAGTTTTTCATGAGCTGAAGAATATTTCTCTCAACTATAAGGCTGTTTATTTAAATGGTGACAATCTAATTTTATTGCCATTATTATTATTATTGTTCCCTTGGGTTCCTAGTGGAACATAGAGCTTCAACTGCACGCCTCCACTTGCTTCTGTCTTCCGCTGTACTTTTCACTTGCATCCATGTTAGTCGATGTTGTTTCAACTCGTCTTCACACGATCTCCTCCATGTCATTCTTGGACATCCCACTCGCCGCCTCCTTTTCGGTTTCCACTCGAGCACTCGCCTGACGCGCGATGTCACCCAGCGGCCTCCTCAGCGAGTGTCAAATCCATCTTCACTTTCTCCTGCTTATTAGTTGAGCGATTGGTTCTTGTTTTGTTTGTTCCCATAGCTTCTTGTTTGTGATTCTTTCCGGCCATCTGATCTTGAGTATAGAACGAAGACAGTTGTTGATAAATGTCTGCAACAGGCTGTTGGAAATATTCTTTGTGACCCTCCAAGTTTCTGATCCGTATAGCAAAACTGACTTGACGTTTGTATTGAAAATCCGAATTTTGTTGTTGATACAGGCTGAGTGACGAAGATTTCCAGATTGGTTTCAGGTTGATGAATGTGTTTCTCGCCTTCTCGATTCTCGATTTGACATCTTCGTCCGTTCCTCCTGTGGTTCAGACAATGCTCCCTAGATAAGTGAATGAAGTAACCTCTTTCAAATCCCTCCCGTTGATGGTGATTGGCGCTGCTATAGTTATTTTTCTTTATCCAAAATATTTTCATTTTTGTTTGTTTGCTTTATTTTTTTCCGCAGGAGATTTCCTGAATCACGAGTTAAACATCTCATAACTTTATACTTTAATCAGCTTATACATGGATGTCGTAATGTAGACTGTCAGAATCAAAACTGTGCATCGTCTGTTCGGTTTGCTCATCCAGGTATTACACCGAATCAAGCTGCTGCACTAGCCATCGAGTTAACAATCAATCGTGCTGATCTTTGTCTGCCGGCTAATTCATCAAGTGTATCATCATCCAGTGGAATGAATAACTCACATCCTACCGGTCAAGAAGACGGTGGTAACACTGAAGATTCGAATGATGAAAGTATGATGGATACTAATGAAGTAATTTCTCTTTTACTATGTTATTTTCATTATTATTATTATTATTTTAAAGCCTTCTCAAGGGGTTTGTAATGCTCAAACTTCCACTGATGATGCATCACCATCAAGTCATGCGGTCGCCGGTTCAGGTACATCAACGACAACAGGTCCTGAAGAAACAGAAGATTCATTCCCACCGCTAATGACACCTGCAGAAGTTACTCGATTAATCATGTTTCTATTTGATGCTTCAGAAAATGATGATTTAAACTCCTCGCAGTTAGGTGAACCAACTTCTGGAATTATGACAGATGAATATTCTACTGATCATGACAGTACTTTGAGTTCAGCTTTTCGTGGTCGTAATCCTCTCTTTAGTGAGCTTCTAGAATTTTGTTGTTATTCTTGTTGTTGTTGGTTATTTCTGTTTTCTTTTTGGTTCAAATTAATTTGTGATTGTTTTTTGAAAATAACTGTCTTCAAGAGTTTGTTTGTAAGTATTTGATCTGTTTCAAGTTTGACCGTGGATTGATATCAAAGAACCATTGGGAAAACCAGCAGAGGCAGTACTGGGCAGCTGATTCGTTCTAGTTTGGCGCTCTTCGTCAGTATGCACCCACCGCCGAGGTTCGAACCCAACGACCGTCCGGTTACAAGTCAACCGAGCTCGGAGACCATTCAGCCACGCCATTGGGACCCGACTCAGTGACCAGCCCATGAATTCTAACTTTTATCGATTCATTATTATAGCGTGACTGGCACACCAGTCAATGTCATTACTGGTGGCGAATATTTTTCCTCATTCCTACGTGTCTGCGGAAGTCATTGGTCACGACCCTCCAGATGGCTGAATGGTCTACAAGCTCGCTGGCCTTGTAACCGGTAGGTTCTATGTTCGGACCCCCTGTGATAGGTGTACCTGTCCGCCTGTCTGTCTGTCTGTTTTCGACATAGAACTTTGCACCAATGTGCGGCAGTTCGAGTCGCCACACTCCATGTAGCACACAGAGCATGAGAAGAAAGCAGAAGAAATGCATAATAATGACAATAAACAGAGGTGTGAGACAAAGGAATAGTAATAACGAAGAACAAAGCAGTTTCATTGGAAATTTTAAGTCACAAGGAGTGGATGCATCTGCGCCATTGAAAGCGATTTTGAGCCATGTCACCAATTGTTTCCAACCATTGCTTTTTACCGTCCCGAGGACCCCAAACAGGAAGTCAACACCTTCCTACGTGGCTTAAACTAACTGTTGAGGATTTCATTGACTGATGAAGCCGTGTTTTTGTTTGACCACCGCTAGCTCTTTTCCAGCCTGACCCTATATCAGCTAACATTGCCCGTCGAGGAAGGCGATAACTAGGCATACGTAACATATGTCCTAACCATCTCAGTCGACGTAATATCACAGCCATGTCGATTGATTTCTCCTCCTTACCTAGCACTCGATCGAAGCCTAACCTCAATGTTGCTCACCTTATTATACCACCTAACACGGGAGATAGAACGCAGGCACCAATGATCGAAGACAGCTAGCCTTTTCATTTCTTCCACTCTCAATGGCCAGATCTCACAGCCATAAGGGAGGACGGAGCGGACTGATGAGTAGTACACCCACGTCTATCACGTCTACGCCAGAGACGGCGTAAACTGGCATATGCGAAACTAGCCCTCTGTATCCGTGTTGAGATTTCGTCAGGGATCAACCCGTTGGGGCAGATGGTACTTCCCAAATAAGTGAAGCGGTCAACGTGCTCTACCACTTCACTTCCTATTTCTAATCTAGGGGTCGGTGAAGTCCAATCTTGCAGCCTCATCTTACATTTTACAGGGGCGAATCGCATGCCAAACATACGAAGATTGTTGCTCAAGGTGTTCAGTAGACTCTGCATTTTGTCAGCGTCCTCGCCTAGAAGGTCTATATCATCTGCATATTCTAAGTCAGCGGGATTATTCCCTGGTAACAAGTCTGTCCCTGAGTCTCTGAAGTGAGTTAGGGTTAAGTCTATTAGTACATCTATGATGAAATTGAATAGAAATGGTGATAATGGGCATCCCTGACGGACACCACTAGTCGTCACCATTTCAGATGACAACTCGCCGTAAGCCCTCACCTTGCTGGCTGGATGAGTTCAAGTAGAGTGCCTTGATCAGTGCATTGTATTTTCTCGGCATTCCCTTTACAGCCAAGCCTACTGCTGACGAAACAGCTTTCCAGTACTCCGTGTAGCTGGTTTTCAATGCTTCTCTAACTTGATATTAACCCGCGATTAAACTCAAAAGAGACCTTTTCTTGTAGCTTTTACAGTCCTTACATTTCGTTACTGTAATCTTTTTTCTGTCAATATTGTTATATAGGCACACCTAGAGCATCCAGTTCTGGCTCAGATGCTTTAAAGTCGATTAAACAATCAGCAAATCAAACTAGTCCAACAGTATCTACATCAAGTAACCCACTAGAACGTGAATCTCGTAAAGCTGGTCTATCCTTAAGCGAATTACAAAGAGCAGTAGATTTGGGAAAGAAAAACGGCGAATGGTCTTGTCTTATATTTTTGTTGAATTCTGTTTTCAGTTCATATGAAGCATTGTCAAGAAGTTTCTTAGACATGCCTGATTCTGCTGATACAACAAAGTATGCTAATTATGCAAAGACAACTGATGCGTGTAATAATGCTTCATTATGTATTACGAGTGCTAAAAAGCTGAAACATGACAATGAAGGCGGTATTATTCAACAGTGTAATGTGGATGATGATGATGATACTGCTACTACTACTAATGATGGTTTAACTGCTCACATTACAAAATCCACAGGTGATACAAACGTGGAGCATGCTGTAAATCGTTGTACAAGCGATCCAATCCCTATGGAACAAGATAGTAAGTAGTGTTTAACATAGATTACTGGGTTCTTTTTTTGTCTTCCTTGTTATTATTATATTATATTATTGTTTCCTTTAATTCCTAGAGGAACATAGGGCTTCAGCCGTGCGTCTCCATTGCGTTCGGTTCTCTGCTAGAGTCTTCACCTGGCTCCATCTCTGCCCACACGTTTTCATCTCCTCTTCACATGACCTCCTCCAAGTCACCCTTGCACTGACGACCAACTCGCCGCTTCCCTTTCAGGTTCCACTCGAGCAATGGCTTGTCTAGTAATGTTACTTGATGGTTTCCTCAGAGTATGGCCAATCGATCTCCATTTCTTCCTGCCTATTTGTTTCACAATCGGTTCCTGGTTGGTTCGCTCCCAGAGAACTCTGTTGCTGATCTTTTCTGTTATGTTTTCTTGTTATGTTTCACTTCAATTAGTTGCATGTTTTGTATGCGTCTAGACTAGCATGAAGTTTTACCCAGTTCACTTTTGTCTGCTTGAAAGTATTTTTCTTTTTTTTCATTGTATAAACAAAACAGTACCACTGCTACTGCAACTTCAAAGTACTCATAGGCTTGAAGCCCTTCCTATGTTCCCCTCTCGAAAAGAAACGCAAGGGAATGAAAAATCAAGCAAACAATCAGTGTAGGATCTTCAGTAGTTTTAGTTAAAAGTGCCATAAGATGTACATTGACTGTACATAGCTTCTCCTTCTGTTGCACATTTCTGCATTGGTCCGTCTTCTGTCTCTCTTCTGTTAGCTTTCAGGTATCCCTTGAGAGCCATTCTTTGTCGTGTCCCGTCTTTCTTCCTAGAGTAGTTGTACACGTTTCCTTGAACATCACCTCCAGAGGATTAGTTCCAATGCTCTTCCAAGCAGGTTTCCTCGGTGATAACACATAGTGTCTCGGACTCTGCTCTGATTGCTGCTGCTGGATTCAACATAGAACTTGGCACCGAAGTGCAGCAGTTCGAGTTGCCCCGAGTAGCAGCAGCCGTCGTTTTCAGTGCGCGCGGAGTAAAGAGGAAGTGAAGAGCCATCAAGTAGAGGAGTTGCATTAGTAGAAGGAAGGCATGATAATAGAGATGAAGATGAAGACAAAGATGAGTGAGGATTAGAGAGGTTTCGCGTGCATTTCGGATTGTGAGGGCGATTGTTACTAACCGGCTGCCCACACCGTGGAAGTGGGTTGCGTGACCGCAGAGCCCAGAGGACAACTGCTTGAGGCCGGTCACACGCGGCCTATTTTTGTTTGTTCTTTTTCATTTGGTGTGTCTCAGTAGCATATTTATCACTTCTGCCCTGTGACACGGCAGCAGGAAGCGCGGTCATTGTTAATCCGGGCCCCGACCGATCCGGCATGATATTTTGTGATTTACTTTGAGTCATAACATTGAGTTGGGTAACTGCTTTTAGTCTAACCGCTATCCAAACAACCTTTCTGGCATGGTACAACCTCAAGCGACATAAGTCTCAGCCAGTATAGCTTGTTGGGTCATTGCGGTGTTCAAGTCCGACCACCACGTCAAGGTAGCAGCTTTCGGTCGGGTCTGATTGCTGCAGTGAAGGTATCTCTTGTGGTTTTACCCTTCAGTTTTTGAATGTTGAACTGTTCTGCATTTGTTTTCATGGATTTCAGCTTCACCTTGAAGATTCCTTGAAATAGATGTTTGTCTAAGCTCAAATCTGCTCCCCTTCTCGACTTTTTATCCGGCAGGCTGCATCTCCACTTTCTTGAGATTGAGATGAAATCTGTTTGGTTTGTGGTGTATCCGTCGGATGAAATCCATGTTGCTTTGTGTATATCCTTGTGTTTGTACACACTCCCTCCGATCTTCAAGTCGTTGAAAGAGCAGAAGTTTGCGAATAATTCTCTGTTCTCATTCATTTCGTTGAGCCAGAGCCTCTCGACCCATGATGAGTTCCCTTCTTGTATTACTAGCTCACAGTTTGGTATTCATATCGCCTATAAGAATTTTGGTGTCACCAGTCGGGATGTTGTCCATTACTGTTTGTAGCTGTGTGTACAAAACCTTCTCTTGTTCAGCGTTGTTTGTATGTGCGTAGCATTGGATAATTGTTACCTTCTTTCCTTTGGATTTAAATCTTGCTGTCATTCTCCTGCAAGAGGAGATTGGTTCTCACTGCGTTAGGACTTTGCCTGCCACTGGTGACATCATGATAGCCACTAACTGCCTCAGTGTGCTCGTGGTTGTAGTCTGGGTGACCAGACCAGAGTAGATTATTGACTCTCCAGTTGAAAATCTGCTGTTGCAGCACTTCTAAGCCATGTCTTCGCATCTCTTTGGCCATCTGGACAGCTTTCCCAGCCAGCCTCGTATATTGTGCGGGCATTCCACGTCCCCATTCTTATTCTTGCTTTCATCGAGAGAAGACACATCGGCTGACTGACTGGCTTCCCGAATGAGGGATTTTACCAGCCCGTTTTTTCATTTCGTCTCTCCGATTCCAGTGAAAAACAATTTTGTTTATATTCTTTAAAATATTTTTCTTGTGCGCTGAAGTTTCTGTAGCAGTTTGATTGATTTTCCGGGGTAGGGTCGCTAGCCCCACGCCCAACCCTCCTTCTTTTCCCGGGCTTAACACCGCCTGGAAACTAGGTGAGGTTATTGAACCAAATTCTGCACATCTATTCATCGAGGTGGCTGGGCTGAAAGTGAGTTCTGTTTGTGATCCTGACTAACTGATTAGTTTCAACATAGAACGTCGCACCGCTATGCAGCAGTTCGAGTCGCCACACTTCACTTAGCACACAAAGCAAGAGAAGAAAGTAAAGAGAAATACAAAATAGAAACAGTAAACAGAGAACAGTAATATCGAAGAACAATATAGTTTCATTGGAAATTCTAAGTCATAAGGAGTGGATGCATCTACGCCACTGACAACGATTTTGAGCCATATCAATAAGTGTTTCCAGTCTTCAGTGGTTTTTACCATCCCTAGGGCCCCAACCAGCCAAGAAGTCTACATCTCCCTACGTGACTGGCTTAAACTAACTGTTGTCGATTTCATTGACTGACGGCGCTATGTTTTGGTTTGACCACCACTAGTTAGTTCTATTCCAACCTGACCCTATGTCAGCTAACATTGACCGTTGTCGAGAAAGATGATGGCTAGGCATGCGCAACACATATCCTAACCATCTCAGTCGATGGAACTTCACAGCCTCGTCGGTTGATTTCTCCTCTTTACCTGTCACTCGACGCCTAACTTCAATATTGCTCACCCCATTATACCATTTCCCACGGGAGATAGAACGCAGACACCTATGATCAAAGACAGTTAGCCAGCCTTTTCACGTCTTCCACTGCCAGGCCTCACAGTCATATGGGTTCCAGGAAGAGGATCGACATTTATTCATTAAAGAAATGCTAATAATAAAAAATAAAACTACCTCACCTTAATGCTGACCCCAAACCTGACCCCTAGTCATAACCCAAGCCGTGATTCTTACCCTAAATGTAACCCTAATGAGCAACCAACACATTGTCTAAACAGTACTTATAAACGAGATAGGGGTGAAATTTGCACCCCGATTCGCGCATAGCGTTCATAGTGGCTTTATAATAAATGATGGTAGGTTCAGGTATCGAACTAGGAGTGTATGCCTTCAAAGTTATTGGTGCTTTCGAACTCCTTGACCACTATACTCTCTAACTTGACCTCTTTTCGCATTCTAATTGGAACATAGAGCTTCGAGTTTTTGAGCTTTAAAGTTTCAGTTGCAGTGGTGAGAAGTAAGTGAAGAGGTCTCCAGCCTCACACTCAATCTTCCCTCTTTACCACCAGACGTATTAGTAGCTAAGCGAGATTAAGGAGTGTGTGTGTTTCTGTGGTCCGGGAGTGATTCGATCCCGGACTGTATGGCTCATCTTTGGGTGCCCACAATTTTACCAGGTGTGTGTTGAACTGATAAATAAATAAAGAGTGCTTTCACATACACCTTGTTACTTCTACTCAACTTTGGACCTTCTTTGAAATGTTTTTTAATGACCCTAAATAATTTGCTTTTATACACAGGAGTGAAGTACTTTAGATGTTGCTGCTGCCTTACATTATCAATATTGTTTCCTCCTTAGACAATTTTTTTTTCCTTCACGTTTCCCAGTGGAACACAGGGCCTCAAGCTTGTGGCTTGAAGTTTCTGTAGCAGTGTTTATTTTACAGGATGGGGTTGCTAGTCTCATGCCCAACCTTTCCTCTTCACCAGCTTTATTTCTGGCTTAGCGACGTAAAGGAGTGCGTCGGCCGAGGATCGAACCCCGGACCATGTGCATGGTTGGCGAGCGTCCTAACTGCTGTGCCACCGACGCACTCCTTAGACAAAGGGGTGAAATATGTCCGACATCCCTACCTTGACTACACATCTGCTTTTGACTCTGTCCCCAGATGCCTTCTGTTAGGTAAGCTTTCCTTGACACAAACTCGGTCCTGGGCTATTAACTGGTTGGTTGCATTCTTATTTATCTGATAGAATGCAGTATACTGTATATAGAAAGGCAAATCTTCATGTGTGTTGCTTACTAAAGCCGGTGCCTCTCAACGTGCTATTCTGTCTCCGCTTCGTTTTTCTTTCTTCTTTCGGAAGCAATCAAATCAACTACGTTAAATACACACTGATAATCTGACTGTTCCAAACTGAATAGCTTTTTGTCCGACATTAGCCACAATGGTCCAGGCTAAATGATTTTGCCTTAAATCCCTCTAAATGTCAGACGGCTAACTTCACCTTCAGACATAAACGTGATCTTCACGAACTTCTTCAGTCACAAGATGCTTGTAACAAAGGGGTCACTGAAATAGAAACTAAGTCAGGTATAAGTTACCTTGGATTGGTTCTATCCTCTCACCTTTCTTGGTTGGTCATCCCATATTTTGTTGATTTGTGAGAAAATATTCCATTTAACCTACTACATTAGGAAGTTAAGACAACCAGGTCGGTATCATTTAACCTCTACTTCTACAATTTGTTAACTCTTGCATCTTATCTGTTGTTCTTTATTGCTCCCGCGCCCATAGTCTTTCCTGGGCTACTCAAGAAGGACTATATCCTATTGCGAGCGGTATTAAAGGTTGTCAGTAAGGCAATTGGTGTTCCACTAAGTCAGCCAGCTCATTGCTATCCCAGTCGACAGACACCTGGACTCATGTCTGACTCTCAACAGACTCTGTATTCACAATTCTACCCTTGTCCTTGCATCTCATTAGGTAGGAGGACTAGAAGTCATTATAGAGGGTTATATTGCTCGTGAACATAACCAATTACAAAAACTCATTGATACCCTATTTGGCCCACTAGAGTTCTGTATGTTAGAGATAGTGTTAAACGTGAAACGTACAACTTACTATGTAGTTAGTTAGCAAAATAATTAGCTCTTTTACATTCTCCTATTTGTAATCTTTATGGTGTCACAGTTTCAATCACCTTATTATTTTAGTTATTAACATTATTATTATTATTATGATTTTACACTTTTGACTTTGGAGTCACTGCTAATACCAAAAAGCTGCTATCATCATAAATGTCGGTTGTCTATACCCTGTGATGTTTTGTTGTTGTGGTTGGGTAACTTACATGCAGTATTGTACCACAAATGTCCTTCTGAGTGAGGACGCTGACAAAATGCGCAGACAGAGTCTTCTGAACACCTCGAGCTACAATTTGCGACTGTTCAGCATGCGATTCGCTCCCGCCAATTTTAAGGTGTTGCTACAGGACTGGACTGCTTTGACTCCTAGCTTAGAAATAGGTAGTGAGGTGGTTAACGTGGAGCATGTTGACCACTTCACTTATTTGGAAAGTTGCATTAGCCAGTGCCAGCCAACGGATTGATCTCTGACGAAATCTCAGTACGGATACAAAAGGCTCGTTTGGCATTTGCCAACCTGCATCACATCCAGTTGGGCTACCGACCAAAGGACGTGTGTACTGCTCAGCAGTTCGCTCTGTTCTCCTCTAAGGCTGTGAGACTAAGACATGGCCATTGAGAGTGGAAGACATGAAAAACCTGTCTAGCTAGCTGTCTTTGATCATAGGTGTCTGCGTTTTATCTTTCGTGGTAAGTTGTATAATAAGATGGTAACGACAGAAGATAAAGGCCAGGCAACAGATCCTTTATTGAGAAAGTCAACAGATATTTATCGAATTTTATGTACATTATTATTAGCGTTATTGTTAGCAGAGAAGCAACGTCTTCTGATTGGTTTTTCTTGCTGAAGGTTATTCCGTACCGCTTGTGACCGTTGCTTACAAAGTTATCTATATTTCTGCGAATCTTATTTGCATACGCTAAGTCTGTTGTCATTGGTTGTTGAGTCCCTCAAGGTTTTTTTCTCATGACCCCAATTTGGGACGTAAAGATTGACGTCAATTGTTGTCTACAATTTTGTCTTGCAGACAGCTCTCACCACAACGTGATCAATACTGAGGTTGGGCGTCGAATGCTAGGTAAAGAGGGGAAATCAGCGGACGAGGCTGTGAAGTTACATCGACTGAGATGGTTAGGATATGTGTTACGCACGCCTAGCTATCACCTTCCACGACAACGTTCAATGTTAGCTGACATAGGGTCAGGTTGGAAAAGAACTAACTAGTGGTGGTCAAACCAAAACACGGCTTCATCAGTCGGTGATATGGCTCATAATCGTTGTCAGTGGCGCAGATGCATCCATTCCTTATGACTTAGAATACTGAATAAAACTGTATGGTTCTTCCATATTACTGTTTTTTTCGCCTCAATTCTCTGTTTAACTGTGTCTGCTTTGCATTTCCTTTCGCTTTCTTCTCTGACTTTATGTGCTGAGTAAAGTGTGGCGACTCGAACTGCTGCACATCGGTGCAAAGTTCTACGTTGAAACCAGCTGTTAGTCAGTCAAATGTTGGGAATTCCACACCGTGTATCATAAGTACTGTCTTCAAATAAAGCAAATTATTTACCATTGCTGCTATTATTACGTAATTTCACATTGAGAGTGTACATCTTTTATTTTTTCCTTTTCTTCTCTCTCTCTTTTGCTTGTCAATATTTCACAGCTGATCAACTAACGGATATGTCAAATTCTCTTAGACCTATTACAAGCAAATCAACAAATACTAGATATTGGCCATCTGTTAATCTGCATGATTTACGTCAAGCATGGTCACTAATTGTCTCTTTACGTGAACGTCAAAGTATTGTTGATACACTGATGAGAGCTGTACGCCGACTGGTGGTAATCAATTTGCATCAACTGTTGTTTATTCAACCGCCTGATGGTTTAGATGATGCTCATCCTACGTCTGATGAAATAGCTATTGAACAACAAAAATTAGTCAATCTATTCATTATTCTATATGAATGTCCATTTGCAACAGATCCATTGCACTTTGAGGTTAGTAAACCTGTTTATTTGTCTGTTTGGAAATAAGTATTATCGACATTTTATTGATTTTTTTGATTCCTTTGAATTCCCACTGGAATACAGTGGGTGGGGGTGTGGGTGTGTAGGGGGCCTCAAACTAGACGCTTGGAGTTTCAGTAACAGTGATATGTTTTGGTTCAGTTGTACAGGATATGGTTTGCTAACTCTTCACACACACACACTCACCCAACCTTCCCTTTGCTACAGGATTTCATCATGAGCTGACATTAGTTAGAGGGCCATTGGAAAACCTGCAGGGAGTACTGGACAGCTGTTTCGTCCTAGTTTGGGACTCTTCAGAAGTACGCACCCACCGGGATTCGAGCCCAGGACCTTCTGGTTACAAGGCGAGCTCATATACCATTAAGCCACTGGGACCCGATCCAATGGCCAGCCAGTGCATGAATTCTAACTTCTGCCAATTCACGACATAGCGCAACCGCTAGCCAATGTCTTCGGCGAGTATTTGTCCTCACACCCGACCTGCTGTACCCTACTGGTCACGACTTCTCACTAGAATCCCAGGTAACTACCTACCTGAAAAGGGCAAGTCGCTAGTGAGCACCTCATTGATATTCAATTGTTGGTTTGTAGGGATTTGATTGGTTACAGGATTTCATCCCTTTATTTTTTACCGGGATTGCTACCGGCGAAGTGAGGTAAAGGGGAGTGTTTTTTTTTGAGACCGGGAATCGAATTCTGGACCTCTCGCTCTCGCTTGGTTGGCTAATTTCCTACCACTGAACAACCACCGACGCAGATTGTTGGCATAAATTCTTTGGACAAGCGTTAACAGGTGGTTCTGCTTTTCTGCGTTAGTAATCTGATCCCCACTGTCAGGATTGTTCTAGACTAAGGTGGTTCCTTGTTTTATTTATTTAAAACACGGGACCTGGTGCAATATAGGCAAGAGGAAAGTATGTCATACAGTGATAATAAAGCAACACTACATCTATAAAGAAAATGGGTAAGGAGTGAATAAAAGACGTTCTACAGAAAGCAAGCAAATATATTTGACAAGATTAAACAACATTTGTTGTATTACTGTCAGAGAAGGGAAGAAGGAAGGAAATTGTATTATGTTCGCCATTGATGATTACGATTCTTGGCCATATCCGATAACATTTTGGGCCACTGAATTCCGGATATCTGTCGGACCCCAACCGATGCTAACCTGGTATAAATATCCTTCATCCTACGACGCCACATCATAGGCGGCTGACCACCTCTCCGTCTTCTTCATACAATCCCAGGACTAGCAAACACAGACCGATATGAAAGTCTCTAGGATGCAATTCGTATCACATGTTCAAGCAACTAAGACTGGTGTTTCCAGATTACAACACTCAGTGAATGATGATCTCCACTGTGTCCAAACAGACGCTGCTGGACCTCAGAATTGCTCACGCGATGATGCCATTGGACGCCAACATTTCTACGGGTACAGCAACGGTCTAATACACAGAGTTGCTCTACATTCTCAGCTTGGAGAGACTAGGCCTCATAGGTGTAGAGCAAGGACTGTGCTCAGCGAAGCATTGTAAACCCGACTTTTGACAGCCGGCCTGATTTCACGATGACACCAGAGGTAGTTCAAATTGGAGTATGTCACCCTAGCTTTCATGATGCGGTTAGAGATCCCGTACGTCACATCTCTGCCAGCACTCATGCAACTACCCAGATAAGCGTACTTATCGATAACTTCAAGTGGTTTACTTACAAAGATGAGTGCAGGTATGTCGTACTCGTTTCTGCCAATCTTGTAGCAGTACTTTGCACTTAGATGGAGCAAAGCATATACCATACTTATTGGCACGCGGATCTCAGTAATATTTATAGTCGTCTAAGTGTTCACTGTGTATTTAAAGAGGAAACAAAATATGCACAATTTCTTATTGATTCCGTGTGAATAATAATCGTGACTACTATTCCCATCAATCTATCCATTGACTGAGGGATATTACACACTTGACCCTCTATCTTATAATAATGCTAGTCTTTTTGATCCCGAGTGAAACACGGCTTCAACTGATGCACTCCTTAGTTCTATCCAATTCTCAGCAGTCCTTGTTAGTTGGGCCCCACGATTGCCGCACCATCTTCCCTACGCCACTGTTGCGAACCCGATTCACCGTTTCCCACTTGGGTTCCGCTCAAGCGATGGCCTAGCATGCGATGTCACCATGCGATGTCCTCATCGTGTATCTGATCCATCTTCATTCCCTTCGAGATATTTGTTGGGCAGTGGGTTCTTGGTTGGTATTTACTCCTTGGGTAGAATTCTCAAATATTGCAATAATCGATAAAAGTAACATTATTATCCCACCTGAAGTTTGCTTCAGTACCGCTTCACAATCTTCATCCCTCATTTCCTTCGGAAAATTCCCAGCGTTAGGTAGAAACTTATTTGAAATAGTGCGCGAGTACAGATTGTGACTCACTGCGTTTAATCAGACCATTGAAACAATATAAAACGGAGTAAACACGATGCATTTTGATGTATAAGAAATTTAGGTAACCTAGTGAGTTAAGCAGGTGGTCACCATCATCTAGCTAAAGTCAGATAGTTCATGGACTGATGACGTGTCTTCGTTTTACCATGCCTAATTCTTTTCCACTTCATTCCTAATGTTGGTGATGAAGGCAGTGGCTCGGTATGTATGTGACGCGTGTTCTAGCCTGCTCAATCGATGCAGCTTTGCAACTTCATTGGTTGACTTCTCGCCACCTAGCAGTCTATGCTTAATCTCATGATTACTGAGTAGGGGTTTGGTTTCAGGTTTGTTGTTCACGGGTTGATTTCACCTAGAGAACCATTGTAATCCAGAGACTACTGAGGTTTGAACCCCAGTGACTGCGTATTGCCGATGAGTCCCAAACTAGGTCGAAGCCACTGTCCAGTACTCCCTACTGGTTTTCCCAATGATTCTCTAACGCATATCAATCCGTGGTGAAACTTGAAACGAAACCAAATCCCAAGAAACTACCTCTTGAAAATGAATCTTATTGAATCTTAGTGTGTGACTGGTTTCAGGACAAAGTTGCTTAGAGTTAGTTCCAGTGAGAAGTAACGACCGAATGGGAGTGGTGCCATGCACTAGCCTATGACACTGACTGCTACCAGTCGCCCCAAAATTACCAATTGGTAAAAATTAGAATTCATGAGTTGGACGTTGAGTCGGGTCCTGGATGCGTACTGATGAAGAGTGTCAAAGTGAGGCTGACTATTGTTCCTAACTTTTTGTATAGGTGGTAAATAGTAAATAAAGTCAATCAAAATATAAATTAATTGGGTTTACAAATGTTTTTTTGTCTTTTTTGTAAAGTGCAGTTAGTTACGTAGTTAGTTAGTTAGCTGCCTAACCTTATAAAGACTTTTTATCTCCCATCTTTAGGTTTAACTTAGTATATATTTTACTAGCTAATAATATATACTAGAATGATCAATAAATGTACTTTAAATGCGAATACAATTCATCCATCCTTCCTTTCTAAAAGTTCATTTATCTGTGCTTTTATTTTTAAGGCAATATTTTCCTTTTTTTTAAAGGGTACAATACTATTGAAAAGGAAAATATCAGTGTCATATATTACTGATCGATTTATTTATTTATTGATTAATTGATTGATTGATATGGGGAGGTGGATATCATCTAGGGAACCAGTTAGTTGTTAAGCTTGCTGATAAACTATTTCAATCTGGTTTCTGGTGGGCTTCAACTAGATATAATACTACTTATTCTGCTAGATCTGAGCTTTAGTCACACCATCTGCGGAGTGTTTAGTTTGGCCCTTAACTTAACCTGAAGACCATGATAAAATGAATTTATTTGATGAATTCTCCGTGTGAATGATGATATATAGTTGTTTGTATCTCATGACAATCATTGTCGTGTTCAAGTATTGGTTTGTAGGGATTTGATTGATTGGTTACAGGATTTCATCATGAGCTGACATTGGTTAGAGAACTATTGGAAAACCTGGGAGTACTGGACAGCCAGCTGTTTCGTCCTAGTTTTGGACTCTTCATCAGTACGCACACACCAGTGGCTAGCTTGCCTTGTAACCAGAAGGTCCTGGGTTCGATGGATGCGCACTGCTGAAGATTCCCAAAATAGGAAAAAGCAACTGTCCAGTACTCCCAGGTTTTCCAATGGTTCTCTAACAAATGTCAGCTCATGATGAAAACCTGTAATCATTGTCGTGATTGGTTGTTGATCATTTTTATTGATTTGGAATTTGAATTTTCTTGTCGTGTGATTTATTTTTTTATTAGTTGGTAGATTTGATATATGTATGTTAAGTAATGTGTTTGTTAATTGCTGATTCGCTTGAGTGTACTATCCAGGCTTCTAGGAATTCTCTGATACATATTTTGACGTTCTCTCTCTCTGTTTAAAATTTCCACATCCTCCTAAATGAATCGATGTCCATAATTGTCTGCATGCGTCGATATGAAAGAATACAACGTAACGTGTCGTGTCTTTTCACAGCTAATTTATGTTCTTAGATTCGGATTTGAAGGGGATGTCCACTTTGACCGATGTAGCGTTTATCGCAGTTTATGCACTTTATTTTGTAAGTGGTATTGGTCTTACCTTTTTTTGCTGTTGGTTCCTTCGAGCTACACACTGTTGAGTGGAAGTCGTCGTGTTGTCTTGTGTGCGATGTCAGTTTCAAAAGTTTCAGAAATATTCTTTATATATTGATAGAATGAGTTTTCTTGAATTTAAACACTTTTTGGTGAAGTTGTATGATGTTCACTAGCCATCTTGAAGACAGTTAGTAGATAGATATTTCTCTTCCATTCTCTTCAACACCGGAGCGGTGCTACAGTGTGTGTGTGTGTGTGTGTGTGTGTTTGAACTCTTTTTTAGCAATGTTTGCATACAGTTTCCTTTGTGAGTCATTGAGTTATTGCTATTGTAGTTGAGTATTTCATCTGTGTGTATGTGTGCATGCGTGCGTGCGCGCATTGATTTTCTTGTTTTTCTAAGTTTCCTGTGGGCGTCCACTTCGAATCGCAATCTCAGAGCATGAATTAGCTGTGAAAAGACACGATATGTTTCATTCTTTCATATCAATATATGTAGACCATCATGGACATCAGTTTGATGATTAGGAGAATGTAGTAATGTAGCGTCGGTGGTACAGCGGTTAGGACGCTCGCCAACCATGCACATGGTCCGGGGTTCGAACCCCGACCGACGCACTCCTGTACCTCGCTAAGCCAGAACTAAAGCTGGTGAAGAGGAAAGGTTGGGCATGAAGCTAGCAACCCCATCCTGTAAAAATAAACACTGCTACAGAAACTTCAAGCCTTTAGCTTGAAGCCCTATGTTCCACTGGGGACGTGAAGGAATATATAGAAAAAAAGCAATTTTAAACGCAGTGAAAATACCAAAAAAAAAACGCCTGCAAACTTCTAGAATCAACAATTAACAAACATATTACTATAGACCTAATTTACCTACTCATAAGAAAGTTCAAATTCCAAGTCAATAAAAATGACCGATAGAGATGTAATTAAGCAACGAATCACAGCGATCGTTGTCAGGAGATACAGCTATATCATTCACTTGGCTAATTCGAACAAGTTGCTTTCATATTGAAATCTGCGCTGGAGATTTTGTCTAGATTGGGTGGGGAAGCAACGAAAGTTTCCCAATTGAATCAACCAGCTCAAAGAACACAACTAAAATCAAAATCATTCACACCTGAGAGCTACACAAATCTTCTGTATTCTATGATAAGTCATACCAGATCATCGCCTTCCTCCTAGAGTCAATCAAAACTTGGCATCAATCCGTGTAGTGTATTTGACACTGTTGGTTTGAGCCACATAGGGCGGGGGGGGGGGCTATCCTTGAAACACTAAGAACCCAATGAATTGAAACAGTTAGTAATACGGCTCAAAATTGTTCTCATCACTGTTCTCTTTCTTATCTCCCTCCCCCCTCCGTTGGATCCATTAATTCATCATGATTCTCCATGTTGCTATTCTGTTCATTGTAGTTGGTGTGGATGTGTATTTTTCCCAACTTTTGCGTATGTTTGTGTCTCTGTGTGTGTGTGCGTTCGTGTTATGCATTGAGTGTTGCAACACATTGAATCGCTCTTCACTTTCTGTGCAAAGTTCTACAATGATGAAACTTAGTCAACACTCTCTTTTATTGTCATTATTATTATTATTCTTTTCGATAAATTCCTCTTCCAGGCTCTACAATTATATATATATATGTTTATATACACAGAATATTTTAAATTAGTAGTGAATAACAACATTAGTGTTTTTTAAATAATGTCGATTTGTAAATTATGATCAATGCTATTACAGTTCATTAAAGATGCTTAAATTATAATAATAATAATATAATAGCAAATAGAATAATAATAATAATAATAATAATAATAATAATAATACAGATATAGTAGCAAATAGAATATCAACTAAAATTAGGGAAATTTCACAAAAATTCTGGATTATTCAAACCTGCATGGCCAAGGTAATGATAATGTCTGAACTAACTTCTTTTGGATGCATAAATTAGGCTTATTAATATGGATCCCCACAGCCTCAGCAATATTTAGAAGTCGAACTCTTAAAGCGAAATTGAGATTCGTAGGTATGCGGTAAATGACCCTGAAAGCATGGTTAACGTCAATCTTGTGTTCTGTATCCACAAGATGAGTGAGATAGAATAGCGTTGCGAATAGATTTTGTTTGTTCTTTGCTTAACCACTATGCAGGGTGATGTTCCGAAATCCGATGGGAGAAACACGCCTAATTGTACGGCCTGTGTAACTGGCTCACTCCACAGAAGCAGTTAAATTGGTATATACACATGGAAGAGGCGAAATTAGGCAGTTTGTCTTTTATTCCCGAACGCAGAAGAGGAGTTGTTTTAAAGATACAGCGTAATTCAGCAGCAGGGAATGCTCTTTTTACCGCATTTCTAAGGCGCTGTGTTAGTATCTCACTGGGGTGTTGTCTCCTAGGAACTGCATCTGTAAGAACAAGGCCTTTTTTGGAACTGTTGGTAACTTGGGCTGTTTTGGTTTCAGATTCATATTCTTATCAATAAACTTTTCGGGATAACCATTCTCACTTAGCAACCGTTTAATATTGTTAAGTTCCTCGTCAGTTACGTGAATTCCACTGTGATCTTACTTTACAAATCGATATTATTTAAAAAGTACACCAATATTTTTATTGACTACTAAACTAGAATATTCGATGTACATAAACATGTGTATAAATGTAGAGCCGGAAGAGGAATTTATCGAAAAGAATATTCTTTGCTCGATTATTTTGCGTTTTATAGATGTCTGGATGAATATTTTTGCTATATTATTACTATTTTTTTCATTCACACAGCTTTTATTACTGAATATCAATCGTGCTGTTACATGGCTCCCAACTACTATACAAGTTATGCTGTGCAAAGCATGGGCCAACTCAGTGCATCTTCCATTGGCCAATTGTACAGAACCACCGAATCCAGAACAAACAAATCTTTGGTGTTTGCAAAAAATTCTACTGCATCATATCACTCTACGTTGTTTAACCACAGATCATGTCCTGCCGAATGAAGATAAACAAATATGCGAAGCTGCACTTGTCTTACGGATTGTCTATTATGCTAGCCTCCTGGCGGGTCAAATGGATTCACCAGAATTATTAGCGAAAGAAGCCGAGGAGAATAAGAATTTTGAAGTGCAAATGCGTGCGCATGTAGGACCTGTAAGTACCGTTATTATTATTACTTTTATTAGCTTTTCTAGATTTCCTTGTGTGTTGGTTTGATAGTAAAACTGATTTAAGTTAGAGTGCTATTGAAAACCATCAGTCGGTACAGTCGGACAACTGTTTCGCCTTTGTCTCACCCAGTCTCTTCATCAGTATGCACACATGACACCCCGTCAGACATTGGAACCAGGAGAGTGTTGACAACTTTACTTATTTGGGAAGTTTCAGCAGCCAGGCCCCATCGAGTCGACTGCTGGCTAAACGCTCGTGTGGAGTTTACCAAATTACCTCCTTTCTGGCCTAGATGTGTTATCCAGCTGTCTCAGTTCACCAGTTTGTTCCGTCCTCCTTTAAGGCAGTGAGTAAAAAAAGTGGCCATTGAAAGTGTAAGGACATGGAAAACCTGGCTAGCTGTCTTTGATCACAGGTACCTACCTACATTCTATCTCGCATGTGTTAGGCTAGTATAATAGGATGCGTAATATTGAATTCAGGCGTCTGTCTCGAGTGTTAGGTAAGGAGGGAAAGTCAATTGATGAGGCTGTGAGTCTCTGCATCGATGAAGATGGCTAAGAGATGTATTGGGCTTGGATCTAGGTTTCGTGCTAGTTGGCACTCACCAGTCAGCAAGGCGTATCTGCAACCTTAAAGAGACTCATGTCCCTGCTACTGAGATTCGAACTCGCGTCACCCAGTGCCGCCTGCAGTCAGAGACGTTACCACTGAGCTATTCAGGCTCACGATTGACCTCCTGTAGGATTGTAGTGGGTATTTCGATTGGACACTAGTCTTTTCCTTTCTTTGGTGCAGACTGAAATCTAAGGCTTCCTGGCGATTGCCTCCACCCATCCAATATCATCAAATCAATGTGCACCGTGATGGCGAGCTACCTAGTGGAATGGTGGCCACATTGCAAATACCTGACTGATAGAATTCACTCTGCATAACATAAAAGGACTGGACACATCGCACTAGTTACTAGTGTCCAGTCAAAACACCTATGTCTGTTTGCGAATATAAGGATGAAAAGATTATTAACAAAAAACCTTTTATAATGAAATTAAAAAGACTCAGGGTAGCTAAGAGTAGTCTTTTCGTAATTTCTTTCTTTTTAAAGCTTTACAGTTAACAACTAATGTTTTGAAAGGTCATAGAATTGTCGATAAAAAAGGTCAATTATTGATTTAAGTTGGTAAAAAAAAGAGAATTCAGTGATCCAATAGAGTTCATACATATTATTAATGATTGGCCTTTATATTGGCCGTTTTGACTCTCTACTAGATTTTTATATACCTCATTCAGCAACTTTTATGACAATGTGCTACATGTCAAGTGTGAGATCCACAATGCGAGAACTCAGTGTGATGCCTTTGGATGTGAAGACAAGAGTAAGACAAGACTGTCAGCTTACTATCATCGATGAAATTCCTAGTTTTAGTGGGTAGCTGGATTACGGTCGGTCGGTTGGTTTTCGACATAAAACTTTGCACATATGTGCGGCAGTTCAAGTCGCCACACTGCCTCCTTGTAGCACACAAAGCAAGAGAAGAAAGTAGGGGAAATGCATAATATAGACAGTAAGTTGCGATGTGAGACAAGAGAATAGTAGTAACGAAAACAGTTTCATTGGAAATCATGAGTCACAAGGAGTGGATGCATCTGCACCCGCCATTGAGAACGATTTTGAGCCATATCACCAATTGTTTCCAACCATTGGTTTTTACCGTCCCGAGGATCCCAGCCAGGAAGTCTACACCTTCCTACGTGGCCTAGACTAACTGTTGTAGATTTCATTGACTGATGCCATGTTTTGGTTTGACCGCCGCTAGCTCTTTTCCAGCCTGACTCTATATCAGCTAATATTTCCCGTCGTGGAAGGCGATGACTAGGCATACGTAACACATGTCCTAACCATCTCAGTCGATGTAATTTCACAGTCTCGTCGATTGATTTCCCCACCTTACCTAGAACTCGACGTCTAACCTCAATATTGCTCACCCTATTATACGCGGCACATTATGGGTGGAGAGCAATAAGACAGGAATACGTTGGAGCGATAAGAGAACTGTCGAAAATCTGGACTTCAAGGCGGATGATTTATGCCTAATGTCACTTAAACTCGAAGACTTACAGTCAAAAACCGACAATTCGGCAGAAGTGGCATGCAGGACTTCAAGTAAACACAGAGAAAGCGGAGATGATGATGACAATAACCAAGCAACCACCACCAACAACAGCAACAAGTACCAATCACTATCGACGGAGGAAACATCACTTCAACTAGTGGAGACATCACGGATGTTGATGGCAAAACCAGAACCACAAAGGTATGACACATTCGTCACTCTGAAATGAGCTTGGAAATCTTGTACACTCAGCAAAAAGAGCAAAACTCGGAATTTCAACACTAATGCCAAATCAGTCACCACCTCTTCTGTATGAGTCAGAAACTTGGCGCGTGTGTCACGAAAATCCCTTCCGACAACCAGCTACAGTTTTTTAATCAACAGCTGCCTCTTTCGCTGCCTGGCTCCATATCGAAGATCAGTTAGCCAGTCAGAAAGAATTAGCTGCAAAATACTTTGAGATGACTCTTCAGTGGCATTACACACCGAGCTGGTCATCTATTGGAACCCGATTGGAAGGCAGTGAGTTAGGTGTTGTTGCGAGGGTTACATGGAGGAGAGATTAGGACTAATTTGAGATATGTTGTTGAAGCCCTCCCTATGTTCCACTCGGAATCCATGGGAATAGCAATAATATTGTTAATAATTGAACATAGGGCTGCTTCAAGCTACAGATTTGAGGTTTCAGTAGCACTGGTGTTTATTTTTACGGGATGGGGTTGCTAGCCTCATGCCCCCAGCCTTCCCTTTTTGCCAGTGCGTCGATGGCCGTGTTGTCTGCCGTGTGCAATGGTTGCTGACTGCTTACCAGCCAGTCACGCTGGAAAGTTCCGGTTGTATTCCTGACCTGCACGTGCCCGTGAACCTTACCCAGATTAACTAAGCTGATAGTAAGTGAGGAAAGTTCGGTGGCGTGTGTGGCTGGCAATCCCCATTCCGTAAGAACAGTAGCACTGTAACGACAGAAGACAAGGATCAGGCAACAGATCGTTTATTGAGGAAATCAACAGATATTTATATATTTTTACGTACATTATTATTAGCAGAGAAACAACGTCTTCTGATTGGTTATTTTATCGCTGAAAGTTATTCTGTCATCTCTTTGTGGCCATTTCTTTGAAGGTCAGACCATATATTTGCGAATCGTATCCACCCACGCAAAAGTCTTCTGTGATTGGTTGTTGAGTTAGTCTTTGTTCTTGTTTTTTTCTCATGACCAAGATTTGGGAAGTAAACATTGACGTGAATTGCTGTCTACCAATTTTGGCTAGCAGACAGCTCTCACCACAGCATAACTAGTGAAGCTTCAAAGCCTTATGTTCTACTCGAAACCCGTGAGCTGAATGACTGGTTTCGACGTAGAACTTTGCACAGAAATGCGCCAGTTCATACCTTCCATACTGCATATCGCACACAAATCAAGATAAGAGAGTAAAGAGTTTTTTCAAAAGAGAGATAATAAACACAAGTGTGAGGGAGGAAGAGTAGTAATATGGGGAAAACAGTTGGGTTTTACTAGATAAAGCAAATCACAGAGAGTGAATGCATCTGCACCACCATATTAAGAATGATGAATTTCAGCCATAATATCACCAATTGCCTCCAGCCATCACTGGTTCTTAACAGTCAAAGGACCCCCCGACTAGGAAGTCTACACCTCTAACTGTCAAAAATTTTATGGACCGATCCCAGAATTTGATATTACCACCACTAGCTCTTTTCCAACCTAATTCTGTGTCGATTAACAGTGCCCGCGTCGAAGAAGGCAGTGCCTAGCCATACCAGAAAAGACGTTAGGATAGCGATTAAGCTAAAAGTAGGTACCACCGGTATAGTGTAAGATATTTACATTATGTTTTGGGGGTGGGGACAAAGTCGTAGTTTTGAGAAACAGGGGTGGGGGTGGGTAACCGCAGTAAAGTGTGTTTCCCTCGGATCACCAGCATGTCCAACCAAGCTTCCTCTCCGCTGTATGTGGACAGGTGAGATCACAAAGGTGGTGAGTGCTACTGAAGAAATGTTTACTCCTCTTTGGTTTTCTGTGATTCTCCTGCCAATCTCAGTTCATGATGAATTTCCCTCTCTCTCTCCCCCCGCACACACAAGTCGAATAATTTTAGACACCCTTGTCTTGTCACTTAAGTTTAATTACATAAAGGATTTCACCATGAGCTGACATCAGTTAGAGAACCACTGGAAAACCTGGGAGTACTGGATAGTTGTTTCGTCCTGGTTTGGGACTCTTCGTCAGCACTCACTCACAAGGCGAGCTCGCCTTGTAACCAGAAGGTCCTGGGTTCGAACCCTGGTGAGTGCGTACTGATGAAGAGTCCCAAACCAGGACGAAACAGCTATCCAGTACTATTAGGTCTTCCAGTGGTTCTCTAACTGATGTCAGCTCATGGTGAAATCCTACATCCAATCAAACAAAATCCCTACGAAACCAATACTTGATAATTACATAAAGTTAATTTGTCCTGTTTTTTCTTTTCTCTTCAATATATCTTAATGCTGTGTCTCATTAACTACTTAACCTTCTTCTTTTTTTTATTATTTCATTCAAGACTTATGAAAGACGTTCTTCACGAACAAATTTACCTGAAGATCCATTTGCCAAGGCATTGAATATATCGCCTAATGATTGTCGGAAACCATTTATCCCTTCTAAAGATTTTGTAAATGAAACGCTTAACGATGGACTACAGGTATTTGTGTGTTCCTTATTATTATTATTGTTTGAAGACATGGTTTTAGTCTTTCTTTACTTTTTTTACCTATTGGTTTTTATTGAAAAAAAAATGTCTGAATACTAACAAGGTAAAGGGGAAGTGTGTAGCATCACTCAAAAATTTCATTATTTCAAAATAGATAGAAAACTGGAAAGAAAACTGTTTCGGTGTAGTCTACCGAAATCCTTATAACCTGTACTACTGGTAACAGTGTTCGGCATGCGATTCATTGCTAATGGACTGGATTACATCGACCCACTCCTAGCTTAAAGAATGAGAGTGAAGTGGTTAGTGGAACATGTTGACCACTTCACCTATTTGGGAAGTTGCATTAGCCAGTGCCAGCCAACGGGTTGATCGCTGACGAAATCTAAGCACGGATACAGAAGGCTGGTTTAGAATATATCAAATTACGTCATCTCTGGTGTAAACGTGATATCCTGCTGGCTGACGATCAAAGGGAGTGTATATCGCTCAGCAGTTCGCTCTGTTCTCCCTTTATGGCTGTGAGTGAGATATGACCATTGAGAGGGGAAGGCACGAAAAGCCCAGCTGTGCCTGTCTTTGATCATAGGTGTCTGCCTTCTGTCTCCCGTGTTGCGCGTGGTGGTGATGTGAAGGGGTAAGCAATATTGAAGTTAGGCCTCAGTCGAGTGTTACGTAAGGAGGGAAAGTCAATTAATTGACGAGGTTGTGAAGTTACACCGACTGAGATGATTAGGACATGTATTGCGCATCCCCCTAGCCACTGATGGTCTTCCTCGACGGGTACTGTTGGCTGACATAGGATGGATCAGGTTAGAAAACAGTCAGTAATGGTCAAATCAAAAGATGGCTTCATCAGTCAATGAAAAATCCACAACGGTTAGTTTAAACCAGCCAGCCAGCTACTTAGGGAGGTGTAGGCTGTTTGAATGGTTGGGGGATTTTGGGATGATAAGAAAATATAAAGCCTGGAAGCACAAGCCCGGTGATATGGCTCAAAGTCGTTGTCAGTGAATGGCGCAGATGTATTCACTCCTTGTGATTTGTCATATCCAATAAATTTCTTACTGTTCTTGCTTCATACTTTTCTTATTTCCTCACCCTTCTGTTTATTATCTCTCCCTCTCTCTTTTGAATCCTACATTGCTCTCTTTTCTTGCTTTGTGTACTAAATGGAGTAACTGTCGTCAACCGCTTCACTTACTTGGGAAGTACCATCAGCCCCAACGGGTTGATCTCTGACGAAATCTCAGCACGGATAGAGAAGGCTAGATTTGCATATGCCAGTTTACGCCGTCTCTGGCGTAGACGTGATATCCAGCTGGCTATCGACCAAAGGGCGGATGTACTGCTCATCAGTCCGCTCCGCCCTCATTCATGGCTGTGAGACCTGGCCATTGAGAGTGGAAGACATGAAAAACCTGGCTTGTTGTCGTTGGCCATAGATGCTTGCTTTCTATCTCCCGTGTTAGTTGGTTGTAGAATTGGGTGAGCAATACTGAGGTTAGGTTTCGGTCGAGTGCTAGGTAAAGAGGGGAAATCAATCGACGATGTTGTGAAGGTACACCGACTGAGATGGTTAGGACATGTGTTACGCATGCCTAGCCATCGACTTCGTGGACGAGCAATGTTACCTGACACAGAATCATGTTGGAAAAGAACTAACTAGTGGTGGTCAGACCAAAACATGGCACCAGTCAATGAAATCTACAATAGTTAGTTTAAGCCAGTGACGTAGGAAGGTGTAGACTACCTGGTCGGGGTCCTTGGGACGGTAAAAACCAATGGTTGGAAACAGTTGGTGACATGGCTCAAAATCGTTATCAATGGCTGGCGCAGATGCATCCACTCCTTGTGACTTAAAATTTCCGATGAAACTGTTTTGTTCTTCGTTATTACTACTCCTTTGTCTCACACCTCAACTTACTGTCTCTATTATGCATTTCTTCTGCTTTCTTCTCTTGCTTTGTGTACTACATGGAGTGTGGCGACTCGAACTGCCGCACATATGTGCAAAGTTGTATGTCGAAAACAGGGAGACCCAGTCTTGCAACATCATCTTAACTTTCCACAGAAGCCTAACTGTTTTCATAATCCTTTGCCTTAATCAAGCTACTTCTTTTCAATGTATTGAAGTATTGTGTAACCCATACTTTTGTATGTTCATATTACACCGAATCGTTTGTATTTAAGTAGTATCTTTAATTCTTTTTTTCTTTTTTCAATTTATCTAGCCTAAAAAAGACTACATATACTATCGTTCAAAAGGTATATCGAATGAATTAAGTTTTATGAAATTACCATTTCTTCTACAAACCAGTTCTAAATCTGTTCTCTTATATTATGATAATCGTATGCGCATGTTGGATGAACGTCGTGGTGTACTGATGCATACACTTTTTATGGATACACCTGAAATGCCATTTTTTAAACTACGTGTTAGTCGTGATAGAATTGTTGAAGATGCTTTACTAATAGTAAGTTAGTTGTGTTAGCAGTTGTTATTTTGTTTGTTTTTTGTTTTACTGTCATCTTTATTGATTATTATTATGATTGTTATTACTGACTGCTATTACTATCTCTGATTACTACTCATTCATCTTTTGGTTTTGAAGAGAGGCTTTGACTAATTGCAATTTAAGATTTTATCCAGGCATTGACATTAGTTAGTGAATCCTTTGGAAGTTGAGAGGTACTGGCCAGGTGTTTTGGTCTGTTTTGTGGGACTCTTTGACAATGTTCACCTACGACGCCACCATCAGGGATCGAACTCAGGGAAGCCAGCTCATGGGCCAGTCAGCCATTGCGTTCGAATTCTAACTTCTGCCAGTTTGAAAATTTGTTTCTGGCCAGCGACTGGCTACTGGACGAAGTTGCCTGGTGAGTTGTGGCCAGTAGGGTGTCTGCCTTGTCGGGCGGGGAGTGAGGACAATTACCCGCTACTGACGATGACACTGACTAGTGCTAGTCACGCTAAGAGCATGAATTAGCAGAAGTTAGAATTCATGGGCTGGCTATTTAGTCTGGTCCCAGTGGCGTGGCTGAGTGGTCTCCTGGCTCGGTTGACTTGTAACTGGAAGGTGGCGGGTTTGAACCCTGGTGGTGGGTACACACTCCCAATGATTCATAAACTAGGACGAGATAACTGTCCGGCGCTCCCCGTGGTTCTCTTACTGACAACAGTCAAGTTGAAAAACAAACCAAATGCCTACAAACAAATTCTTGAACATTTGACATATTAGCGGTATGGCCAGCGAACAAACGCCATCGATGAGAGTGCCATTTTTTATTCCTTCGCATTGTGAGTGAAATATGGGACTTCAGTGGAGGCCCCTGTTTACACTAGCTTTACTATCAGTTAAGCGAGGTCTAAATGCTCGTCGTCTGGGGATCAAACCCCCGAACACTTTTGGTGTGTTCGGCGAGTTTAGGTTGTCATACTCCATGAACCACATAAATGGCACAAAAGCAGAGAGAGAGAGAGAAGGAGAGCTTCAAAAGAAGTATAATAAGCAGCAAGAATAGTAACATGAAGATACATTAGGGTTTAATGGGTCTTCAAGACGACAAAGAGTGAATGCATCTGTGCCCATCGAGAACACTTCTGAAACACTTATTTCTTTTCTCCTTCGAGAAATACACGACGACATTTTGTTGGATGCCAGTTATGAGTGATTCAGGAGTGACACCACTGAGGAAGGGTTATCTCATTTATTGGGATAAGGTGCCATAGAGGATAAAGCTTTTTCTCATGTTTAGTAGAAACTTGTGAACCAGTAGGTCGTCAGCAGTCCGCTCCGTCCTCCTTTATGGCTATGAGACCTGGCCATTGAGAGTGTAAGACATGAAAATATTAGCTGTCTTTGATCATAGGTGCCTGCGTTCTATCTCCCGTGTGAAGTGGTATAATAGGGTGAACAATATTGATGAAGTTAGGCGTCGAGTACTAGGTAAGGAGGGAAATCAATAGAGGAGGCTGTGAAATTACATCGACTGAGATGGTTAGGACATGTGTTATGCACGCCTAGCCATCACCTTCCTTGACAACGGTCAATGTTAGCTGACATAGGGTGAGGCTAGAAAAGAGCTAGTGGCGATCAAACCAAAACATGGGTTCGTCAGTCAATGAAATCCACAACAGTTAGTTTAAGCCACATAGGAAGGTGTAGACTTCCTGGTTGGGGTCCTCGAGACGGTAAACACCAATGACTGGAGACAATTGGTGATATGGCTCAAAATCGTTCTCAATGGCTGGCGCAGATGTATCCACTCCTTGTGACTTGAAATTTCGAATGAAACTACATCGTTCTTCGTTATTACTACTCCTTTGTCTGAACTTACTCTCCTTATTATGCATTTCTTCTGCTTTCTTCTCTTGCTTTGTGTACTACACGGAGGGAGTGTGGCGACTTGAACTGCTGCACATCGGTGCAAAGTTCTATGTCGCAAACAGACAGACAGACAACTTTTTAAGTGCTCTTCAGAGTAAATAACACTACTAGAGGTCATATCTTTTTTGCTAGATTTAAACAAATTGACTAAGAGAAATTATATAGGCAATACGGAGTGGTGGAGGTTTTCAGGTAGCCGAAGTCTTAAGCAGGCCTCCATTGGTTGTTAGCGCCTCAATCAGGCAGTCAACACGGTCCTATGTGGGGTGGTTAACTCAAAGCAATATTCAAAGACTTTACAGATTGTTTCCAGAGGCTTACTCTTTTCCTACCCGATTCCCTTTGTCAGCTAACATTTTTAGATGAGGAAGGCGATGACCTGGCATACTGCCTAGCACGTGTTGTAGCCATTTTAAATGGATTGGACTTCACAACCACCTTGATTGACTTCCCCGTCCTTAATTAACACTCGACCGAAACCTAACGTTAATATTACTCACCCTAATATACCTCCTAACACCTACTGGCTGAAGAGACCTGATATACTGCATTTGTTAGGAGCAGAAGATATACTGCATAGTCTTGGGTTTTCAGTGATTCTGTGACTGTGTTATCTCTGCGTGGCGAAATAGTAATTTTGAGGGTCGATCAAATCCCGGTGAATAGCTTAACTCACCATTATTATGATATTTGTATTCTCCTTCTCCTTCTTATAACTGTATCATTATGTATATTGTTTCCTCTCTTAAAACAGTTGGAAATTACATGTATGGAAAATCCTGGCGATTTTAAAAAACAGTTACTCATTGAATTCGAAGGTGAACAGGGGATTGATGAAGGTGGACTTAGTAAAGAGTTTTTCCAACTTATTATTGAACGAATCTTTAATCCAGACTATGGTAAGTGATTAGTTGGTATTTTTCTCTTCAAATATTATGCATTTTATTGTTCCTTACACCGCTTGTATGAGGACCTTATTAGTAGTAGTAGCTGGTAGTAGTGGCTATCCCAGACTGTGATAGGTGAATTGGGCTAGATCGTGTGACCTAGTGGTTAGAATGCAGACAACTATGATCAAAGACAGCTATCCAGGCTCTTCTTTTCATGTCATCCACTTTCAATGACCATCTCTTAGTCGCATCCATAAAGAAAGACACAGAGAACTGCTGAGCAGTACACATGCCTTTCGATCGACAGCCAAGTGGATATCACGTATACGTCAGAGATGACGTAAGTTGGCATATGCCAAACGAACCTTCTGTATCCATGCTGAGATTTCGTCAGCTATCAGCTCGCTGGCGCTGGCTGATGCAACTCCCCAAATAAGTGAATTGGTCAACACGCTCTACCACTTCGCTCCCTATCTTTAAGCTAGGAGTGAGTCGATGTAGTTCAGTCAGTCCGTTAGCATCATCTTACATTTGACGGGAGTGAATAGCAAGCCAAGCATTCGCAGATTGCTGCTCAAGGTTTCAGAACACTCTGAATGTTGTCAACATCTCCACCCAGCAGGAGGCATATTCTAAGTCAACGAAATTATTCCTCAGTGATAACAAGTCAATCCCAGAGTCACTGAAGTCAGGTTATTTGCAGTTAAGTTCATTATTACGATATCTATGTTGAAATTAAAGAGAAATAAGGACAGTAGGCATCGCTGACGGAAGCCACAAGTTGTTACCAATTCAGATGACAACTCTTCCAACCAGTTAAGAAGTCTGCGCCTCCCTACATAGCTGGATTGAGCGCCCCATCCACTCTCTCACTGTACTAGAATCCTTCTATTTTCCAAGCCTAATTACTAGTAGTAGTCGATGAATTGTATGTTTGCGGAAATGGTGTATATATTACTGATAAATCCTCATCAGTAGTAGTAGTGATAGTACGACAGAAGACAAGGTTCAGACAACACATCGTTTATTGAGAAAATCAACAAATATTTATAGATTTTTATGCACATTATTATTCGTTATTATTAGCAAAGAAGCAGCGTCTTCTGATTGGTTATTTTCTCGCTGAAAGTGATTCTGCCAGCTCTTTGTGGTCATTTCTTTGAAGGTCAGACCATATACCTACGAATCGTATATGCCTCACGGAAAGTCTGCTGTGATTGGTTGTTGAGTTAGTCTTTGTTCTTTTTGTTTGTTTTTTCTCATAACCAAGATATGGGACGTAAACATTGACGTAAATTGGTGTCTACTAATTTTGTCTAGCAGACAGCTCTCACCACAGTACTAGAGTTTTTACATGTAAATAATTTCATATATTTTAGTATTTATGTTGTGTACATGTATTTTTTCTTCTCTTTCTTCACTCTAGGTATGTTTGTATTGGATGATGAAACTCAAAACTATTGGTTTAATCCAGCTCCTATTGATGATATGGAACGTGAATACTGTCTAATTGGTACTTTACTCGGTTTGGCAATCTATAATGATGTTATATTGGATATTAATTTCCCATCGGTTTTATACCGAAAGTTATTCGGGAAATTGGGTACATTTGAGGATCTATTTGATGCTAGACCTGTAAGATCTCAATATCTCTGCTCCTAACCCACCGTTTTTTATTACCGATATGTTATTATTTTTAATGGTTTTTACCTAAATATTCTCTTGAGTTCTAGCAGCACTTCTCTACTTTAGATATGATAGAGATTTGTAGCTCAGGTGGACGATTTTGATGTGGTTGTGTTCTCTGAGCTGGATAGTTAATTTGCGAAGCTTTCATCACCCTACTAAGTGACATCTTCAGCGCATACTTCAATTTGAAGTGAGCTTTTAGATTTCTCCACGAGTTTATTAATCATCTCTCCCAGTGACCTTGGACGGGATTGGTTTTTTATGTGTTTTCACACCGTCTAGGCTACTTGTATTGGAACTGATTGTTTCTTTGACTTGAACTTTGACCCTTTGTGTGTGAAGTTTCTTTCTTATTGGTTGATAAATTTTGTCAATCTCGATGTGTCTATTGATTGATGATTCACTGGAATGCCAAGCTTCTAAAAATTCTCTAGCATTCTCGCCTTACCATATATAAAGGACATCTCAGAAATCACTACAAGACTCTTCAAACCTTTAGGAATTGACGTCGTACACAAACCAACAAAGTCACTTCACTCAATTCTGTGTCAACCAAAAGACTCAACAGCGGAAGAAGATAAAACCAACATCATCTACAAAATAAATTGTAACAACTGCGAAAAACAATACATCAGCCAAAGTGAACGTCCTTCGTCTTCGTATCCACGAAGATAAGCTAGCCGTCAAAAGACATGACATCCACTCCCTCATATCACTACATACAGGCAACAACGGGCATCATTTCGGTTGGGAAAACGTTCAGATATTAGACAGAGGAAACACTAAGAATGCTAGAGAACTTTTAGAAGCTTGGCATTCCAGTGAATCATCAATCAATAGACACATCGAGATAGACAAAATATACCAACCGATAAGAAAGAAACCTTACACACAAAGGGTCAAAGTTCAAGTCAAAGAAACAATCAGTTCCAATACAAGTAACCTAGGAGGTGTGAAAACACAAAAACAACCAATCAGGTCCGAGGTCGCCAGGAGATATGATTAATAAACTCGTGGAGAAATCTAAAAGCCCACTTCAAATTGAAGTATGCGCTGAAGATGTCACTTAGTAGGGTGATGAAAGCTTCGCAAATTAACTATCCAGCTCAGAGAACAGAACCACATCAAAAACTTCTCTACTTTGTCCTGTCCTTTGCAGTCGTCTTCAGCTGGCTGGCCCTACGATCGCCCCCCCCATAGTCTCTCATTTCCTCGCTACATGGTCTTTTCCATATCACCCTCAAGCGTTCGCCTGGCTGGCGCCCGATGTTACCCAATGGTTTCCTCAGTGTATCCGTACCCGATCCATCTGTTTTCTTCAGCATACTTGTTGAGCAATAGATCCTTTATTGGTTTATTCCCAGAGTTTCTTGTTGATAATTCTTTATGCCCTGCTACCTGATCTTCAGTATGTCGAGCCAGTGAAGGGGGTAGCTGTTGACAAAGGTCTGCAATGGCCCCTTGGGAATGCTATTCTTACCCATATTGAAGAACTGACTGACTGACTGACTGACTTAGCACTAGTGTTGAAAATCAGAAGCTTATTGCTTACGCTGTGGAGTGGAGAAACTGATATCCAAACTGATTTCAGAATGATGAATGTCTGCGTTGCTTTACAGATTCTGATTTTGACATCCTCATCCGTGCTGTCGCATCTCTGACGTATGTCTGATATGCAATTGTCCACCTAGAGGGGTTGTATGTGTTGTACAGTGGTTCTCTGCATCCAGTAGTAGTTGTGAGACGAGAAGGTTGAAAATGGTGGATTTGCAGATAGATCAGCGGTTTTCGACCAAAGGTAAGTAGGGGTAGTCAATCGATGAGGTTGGCAAGCTGAATCGATTGAGTTGACTAGGTTGTGTGTTGGTGATGTTAAGCTATACAGTTTTCTTCGACTAACAATGTTGGCTGACATAGGATCAGTTTGGAAACATGACAGCAACCCATGAAGTTTTAAATGGACGCTTTGAGCTAAATATCGATATAGACTGCCTGACTTGGGAGTTTTCAAAATGCTTACATCTGAATGACCTTGAGTTTGTTGATGAAGTGGCTCAAAATCATTCTTGGTGGCGCAGATCCAGATTTTGAAAATCCCTACTAGATTTCGTCGTTATTATTCTTTCTTCCATACATTTTCCGCAATTGTAGATACAGTACAATTCTTTTCTCTGTAGTGTTGAGGCCTAGGAGATGAATGAGGTACAGTTTAAAATGTATTGATTCAACCTAAGGACATTTTATTGAACGTTTTCATTGCTATTGACTGAGATCTTCTCACATCTAGGTGACACTCTCTCATCAGTATTGATAGCGAACTGACATCCGTTGGAGAACTACTGAAAAGCCACCAGTGTGAGTACTGGACAGTTGTTTCGTCTTGGTTTGGGACTCTTCATCAGTACGCACCAACCACATTGTGAACCCAGAACGTTTCGGTTACAGAGTGACCACTCGCAAACCACTCGATCACTGAGACGCGATCCAATGGCCAACCCCTGAATTCCAACTTCTGCCTATTCACGATATAAATAGCTCGACTGCCAGCCAATGTTACAAGTGAATAATTGTCCTTTTGCTGGATTTGGTCGACCCCACTGCTTACAACTTCTCACTAGAACTCTGAGTAACTACTTCCAATATAAAGGCAGCCGTTAGTGAGCATAGCGCTAAATATCGCGAATTGGTAGCAGGTGGAATTCATGGCCTGGTCAGTGGATTGGGTCCCAGTGGCGCTGAGTGATCTATCTACAAGTTCTTTTTGTAACCGGAAGGTGATTGGTTTGAACCTCTCAATTGGTGCTCACAGATGAAGAGTTCAGTACTTCCAGGTTTTCCAATGGATATCAGCTCTTGATCATTCCTGTAACGAGTCATGTCTCTTCAAATCAATACAGTGTTATCAGTGTATTAAGCTTATTGGCTATGTTGTACTTCAAATTTTTTGATTTCTGTTAGCTAATAAGACCATGACAACTACAGTGTCTTTCTGCCTGTCTGTTTCCAACATAGAAGTTTGCACCGATGTGCAGCAGTTCAAGTCTCCACACTCCCTCCTTGTAGCACACAAAGCAAGGGAAGAAAGTAAAAAGCAATGCAAAACAGACACAATAAACAGAGATATGAGGCGAAAAGAATAGTAATATAGAAGAACCATACAGTTTCAATGGAAATTATAAGTCACAAGGAGTGGATGCATCTGCGCTAGCCATTGAGAACGAAGATTTTGAGCTATATCACCGATTGTCTCCAGTCTTCGTTGGTTCTCACCATCCCAAAGAGCCAAACCACTAAGGAAGTCTATGCTTCCCCACGTGGCCTGTTGGCTGGCTTAAACTAAGTATTGTGGATTTCATCTACTGATGAAGCGAGTTTTTTCTTCTCACCACCACTTGTTAACTCTTTTCCAACCTGATCCATCCTATGTCAGTCAGCTAACATTGCCCGTTGTCGAGGAAGTCGATGGTTAGGCATATGTAACACATCTTCACCATTTCAGTCGGTGTAACTTCACAGCCTCGTCGATTGATTTTCCCTCACACCTACCTAGCACTCGACCGAAGGCTAACCTCGATATTGCTCACCCTATTATACAACCAACTAACACGAAACAACTAGACAGGTTTTTTATGTCTTCCACTCTTAATGGCCAGGTCTCACAGCCATGGATGAGGACGGAGCAGATTGCTGAGCAGTATATCCGCCCTTTGGTCGATAGCTAGCCGGATATCACATCCGCATCTGCAGTGCCTTATCGTCCTGTAACTATCAGCTTATTTACTTAAAGGTATGGAACTCTAATAGTAGTTTTGATTATAATAATAATTATTATTATTATCACATATTCTTTGACTTCCGAGGGAAATATACGGCCTCAGCTCCCCATTTCCATTCGACTTGTTCCTTTGCTGTGCGTCGGTGGCACAGTGGTTAGGACTCTCGTGGATCATGCACATGGTCCGGGGTTCGACCCCCTGCCGGCCCACACCCGAAATCTATGGTCAGCCTGCAAAATTAGGGCTACCGATATCCATGCTGAAAATTCCGTATCTGTACCTAAAAATACGGTGTGGCATCAAGCTGTAATGCAAATACAAATAAATAAAATCACAGTTAGCTAGCAGCTCCATGAGTGCACAAATGTTTTCATCATCATCTCCTTTTCACAAGATTTTCCCATTGTCACTCTAGCGAGAATGCCTAACTCGTCACTTCCCAGCTGGATTCCACTTGAATGAGGCCTGACCTGGCGTATAACCTGACATGGAGGTGTCTCCACAGCGCGCATGTATGTCCAAATCCAATTTCACTTCCTTCTGTGTATCATATTTGTTAGGTGTTAATTTTCACGCTTCCTTTTAGTTTCAATTGCCTGTTTAAAAAAAATATTTTTCTCCTCATTGTTTTACTTTTACACAGAGTTTAGCCAATGGATTGAAAGCTCTATTAGAGCATGAAGGTGATGATATTGAAGAGGTGTTCGGGTGTTCATTTGCCGTCAATTATCTCGATTCATTTGGCAGTGTGATTACGCATGAATTAAAGCCAAATGGTGCTAAGATTCCAGTTACAAAAGAAAATCGTAAAGTAATTATTATTATTATTATTATTATTATTATTATTAGTGTTCTCACTACCCTACTCCTTCTATATGTCTGTGTTTTTCGTTTGTATGTATACACCCTTTGGTTTATTTAATGAATGATTTTCAGATTACCAGTTTGTTCCTATGGCACTGACAAAGGCAAAGCTGTTTACTACATCATCAGCCAGGTTATATCCCCTAAATAGTACAACACTTACGTGTCCGTGATTCTTTAAAAGAGAGGATAGATGACCTTGGTTCCCGTTCGTTTTCTTTCACTTTCTCATGTTCCGAATGAAACATATATATAAAGAGGACTTCAAACTTGAGTTTTGAAGTTTTTTTTACAGGCGATAGGATGGCAATACACTAGCCCCACGTCCTCTTTATCCCAGGCTAACTACCGGCTGGGCGAGCGAGGTATTGAGGAGGAAGAGTGCGTTAGGCAGGAATCAAATCTGGACCTCGTGAGAGTAGTTGTTGCCGGGTGTGTTGCACTATTGGATCACTGCTGATGATGCACTTGACGTCCTGCATATCGCAGTTATTTCGCTTATTCGACTCTACAACGGAAAACTTAGCGAAACCTTTGAAGTGATGAAGATAGGAAGGAGTGAGACAAGGCTGTGTCAATGTCTATTATCCCCCGCCGTGGCGGACTGAGTTAGGTGGAACACCGTGCGTGGGGAGCTAGAAGACAGGAATGCAAGTTGGACTGATAGGAAAACTCTAGGAGACCTTGATTTCGTAGAGTCATTGTGTCTAGTGTCACACAAATTCGAGGACTTACAGGCGACAATCAACAAACTAGTAGAAGCAGCGAACAGATGGGTTGAAGTGAACGCATAGAAAATGTAGGGGATAACCAACCAACCAAACAAAAACAACAACTTGCACTAATCATTACCAGTGGAAGAAAATTGAAATAGGATGCCTCCTTCGCTTATCTAGGCTAGACAGGATCGTTTCAACTATAATAGGCACAGGCGCAGATAAGGATTTCAAAACCAGAAACTGTAAGACAAGAGACAAAGCTTCCTCAAGCTGAAATCAGCGTGGAAATCTTATCCACTCAGCAGGAAGAACAAAATTTGGATTTTCGACACCAATATGAAGTCATCCCGTTTTTCTGTATGGTTGAGAAACCTGGCCAGTGCGTCACGAAATGTCTTAACTCACTCCATACTGTGAAGATCAAATTGGTCAGCTAGCCAGAAAGAATTAGCAACGAAAAACTGAGGGTATCTTTGAGTGATATCTTACACCACACTGACCCTCTAGTGGAACACGAATGACTATGTGGGTGACATGAAGGAGATCATCTTTTGGAGGGGGGACGTGAGGAAGAATGAAAGCTTGTGGGGAATCGTAAAGCCAGCTGCAAAAGACTGTGGAGAGAGAGATGTGTTGCTGAAGCCCTATGTTCCACTCAAAACCGAAGGAATAATAATAACTTTTTTTATCCCTTTAAGTTACCAGTGGAACTTAGGGTGGCTTTAAGCTACAGGCTTAAAGTTTCTATAGCAGTGGTGTTTATTTTTATGGGATGGGGTTGCTAGCCTTCTTATGCCCAACCTTCCCTCTTTACCAGTTCTTTTACTGGCTTAGCGAGGTAAACGAGTGCGTCCGTGGCCGGGGATCGAACCTCGGAACACCTGTATGGTCGGCGAGCATTCTACGCTATCACCGACGCATAATAATAACCTACTGTGTTATTTTGATTGGGATCTATGTCTACACTTCATTTTGTGTTTGTTATGTGCAAATCTAATTGATTATTATGTACATTATCCTGAATAACTCAAATTACATTCTTGAAAATTCGCTCACATTTTTGATGTCTAGCGCGCATCCATATTGTCAATTGATTGACGAGTTAGATAGTTGAAGTATTTGGCCACGCACACACACACACACACACATTCACACATATATAAACATACCTTTCTCTGGAATGTTGTATGTCATAATTCTGTTTGTTTTTTTAAATTATTTTTTTAAAGTTTACCAATGTATACATTCCTTTAAATTGTCAAATGTGTATATTGCTATACTAAGCGTCTGTTTTGATGTTTTCTAGTCGTAATGTTGACTGATATAGGGTCAGGCTGGTAAAGAGCTAGTGGCGGTCAAACCAAAACATGGCACCAGTCAATGAAATCTACAACAGTTAGTCGAGGCCACGTAAGAAGGTGTAGACTGGCTTCCTGTTTGGGGTCCTCGGGACGGAAAAATCCAATGGCTGGAAACAATTGGTGACATGACTCAAAATCGTTCTCAATGGCTGGCGCAGATGCATCCACTCCTTGTGACTTATGATATCCAATGAAACTATATTGTTCTTCGTTATTACTATTCCTTTTGTTTCACACCTCTGTTTACTGTCTCTGTATTATGCATTTCTCTTACTTTCTTCTCTTGGTTTGTGTGCTACAAGGAGTGGAGTGTGGCTAATTGAACTGCTGCACATCGGTGCAAAGTTTTATGTCGAAAACAGGCAGACAGAATAACATGACGCGTGCTGTTCAGTTGATGATGAAACATTATGTGGTGTTGTCAACAAAATCCTTTTTCTTAGTGAGATTATAGCCTTGGATTTGCCGGTGGGACTGATTGTGGATCTGACCAACAGGTGGTGCTATCTTGATGCGGCGGCGGTGGTCAGACACTATAACACGACAATGATTTGACGAGTTCTACTGATGTTGTTGCAGCTCCTTTATTGTATCAGAAAGGTGTTGTTCAAAAGATAACGGTTACACTTAAACTGAGAAGGTATAGCCATTGAAATTGGAAGATATGATAAGGCCGGCTAGTTGTCTTTGATCATAGGTGCGGTAGTATAATAAAGTGAGCAATATTCAGGTTAGACTTCGGTCAAGTGCTAGGTAGGTGTGAGGGAAAATCAATTGATGAAGTTGTGAAGTTATATCGATTGAAAGAGGATGGTTAGGACATGTGTTATGCATGCCTGCCTGCTTAGCCGTCGATCGCCTTCCTTGACGGGCAGTGTTAGCTGAAATAGGATGGATCAGGTTGGAAAGGAGAGTTTGAACTCAGTATTAACAACCAGGTGTCCGATATCCAATGACTATGAAAGCGATTATGTATGTTTTATATTTATTTTTGTGTATAAGTTATTTTAATTGTGTAATTAATTAATTAATTTTTTTGTGTGTATTTAATTCAAATCAATCAATAAAAAAGGAGTATATCGATTTGTATACAAATTTCTTATTAAATGAATCTGTACGAAAACAGTTTAATGCATTCCGTAGAGGATTTCAAATGGTTGTTGATGAAAGTCCATTGACATTTCTATTTCGTCCAGATGAATTAGAACTACTTATTCGTGGTAGTCCAGTAAGTAGTATATACTTGTTTTCATGAAATATTTATCTATTTATTTACTTGTATAATTACTTTCATATGAACTGTAGTCAAGATTTGAGAGAATAGTTCTAAAATATCATTGGGCACCGAGTGAGAAATTAAAATCAGTAATTCCAACGTTTCCTACGTTCGGCAAACTGCTACGAATTTCTTCAGAGAAATTAATCGAAATTCAAAAATAACAGAGGTTTATATATATATATGAAAACGACATCTCTTGTTTCAAAAAAACTTTGTCCAATCATATGAATCACGAAACAGACATCATCGTGTATAATAAACAAAATTGTGTGAGCTGTGATCAAAATATGACCTCAGACTTTCAAAATTAGTCTCTCCATAAGAAGATATAGACAATCGGGAATTTTGACCAAGTATGATTAATAGTTGATAGATATCCATTTTTATTTATCAATCAGGATCTGCTATGCATCAGCTAACATCACACTTTCAAGTCTGTTCAAACTGTTGGCATTCACCCATATATATATATATATGCCAAGCTTTTGCAGTCAGTCTTTATTTATACGAACCAAAACCTTTCTGTAGAAACTTAGTCCTATCAAAGTCGACGTTGTGTCTCGTTTCTATCGACTGCAGTGTAATCGGCGGTCTGCTTTCTAGCTTGTTCAAGTCTGCAAAGGTATTGGAACCACTTTTAGAAAGTGTTTACGTTCCTTCACTCTTACATTTACCTATCTGGAGGTTTCTCCTACATATACAGTCCCCACAGTTGATCTGGTACGCACAATTCTGTTGGTTTTCTTGTTCTATTTTACCCTTAACCTTCACGAGTGATGAGTGTAATGTGTCTGTTGTACTGTACACTGCACATGCCTAGAAATTTTTTATATTCAGTTATCTGCAACCATGAACTTTAGTCAAACATAATCACTAAAATTCTGATAAAAATACACACTGTTTACAGTGTTCATTAATAGTAGACTAATATATTTGTAAATCTGAGGTAAAATTGTGATCACAGCTCATACAATCTTGTTTATTATACATATTGATGCCTGTTTTATAACTCATATGATTGGACGAAGTTTTTAAAAATAAGAAATGTTGCTTATATATATATATATATACATCTGTTATGCTAATTTCGATTAATTTCCTGTGAAGAAGTTCGTAGCAGTTCGCCGAACGTAGAAAACGTTGGAACTACTTATTTCAATTTCGCTGAGATTTTACAAATCTAATTTTTACAAATGTCACCAATTACTTAGTTTTAAGAAAGTTTTACTCTTGTGATACATGTTCAAGGAATAGTTTTTTTTACGACGTAGAACTCAGGAGTAATCCAGTATTGTCATATCTTATGAAGGATATATAAAGAAAGAGTAGAAATAAAGGGAATTCCCTAGAAACCTTAATAAAACAATGCAGCCTGTTTAAAACTTGGATTATTAGAGGGTTGGAGGCAATCGGCATCTGACCAGTCAGCAAAGCGTATCTTGAAGGGAAACATGTTCCTCCTTCTGAGAGTTAAACCCTCATCACCCAGTGAGTGTTGCAGTCAGATGCATTACCACTGAGTTATTCGGTCTCGCAACCAACCCTCTGCCGATTTCCTCCAACCATCTAATATCAACAATTCAAAGTGCAATATGATACGGAACCACCTAGAATGGTGTCCACATCGCAACCTTAACTGATAGAATTCAGTCTGCACCAAATAAAAGATTGAATACTAACACCAGTGTCCAATCAAAACTTGGGCTAACAGAGACCTCCATCAATATAATGCCTAGAACTTCTCTCTTCCGGTTCGTTTAAGTCTAAAATATATGACTTCTAGTAGTATTATTTACTTTGGTGAGTATTTAAAATATTCACAACCTACCTGTTGTGCTAGTTTCTCCTAAAGTTGAGAATAAGCATAATCATGGGTGTCACGTATCCCTTCCGATACATGGGACTATCGTGTTATTCTTGAGTTGTGTGTCCTTGGTGTGTTCAAAATGTACCCCTCCCGAGCTCTTTATAAATTGGTTCATTCAACCAAATGTCATGCATTTCTTGGAAAGGGAACAAAGAAGAAACATTACATAATATATTGGTTTACAATTCAGGTGAGATGGCACTATGTCGGTATCCTGCGTCTCACTAATCGTTAGATTCGAAACTGTATTACTTGACTGGATTCCTAATAACGCAGTCATTTACGTGCTGTGAGGCTGGAAAGTTATACAACAGTAAGAAACAGTAGGCCAGATGTGCGGTGCCTATTTGTTTTTTCGGACTTCACACCGACAAATTGCAACTCGGATGCAATTAAGGATGCGTTTTACTGTCAACTGAGTGATCTTCTTAAACAAGTGCGTCAGAGAGATGTTGTAGTGCTGCTGACTGGGGCCTCGAATACTCAGGATATTCTTCTCAAAGAAGATGAAATTGTTCTCCTAAGGATATCGCAGACTAAGTCTCCCTCTCTTATAACTCTTGTATTTCGTAATGATTCACTTTTACTTAGTTCCATAGGGGGTGGGGGCATACATGATTTCCTCGGCGAAAGCAGTCTCTTCTCTGAATTACATATTTTGTTTTCATTCACGTCTGAATGGGGATTGCTCATGAATTTTTCATTTCCCTCCACTTAACAACTAACCCGTTTAAATTAATCATTGTTACAGGTATATGATTTTAAAGAATTGGAACGCGTGACAACGTATGAAGAGTATACAGCGGATTCACCTGTGATTAAAAATTTTTGGTCTGTAGTTCATTCAATGACTGAAGGTCAACAGAAGCAATTATTACAATTCTCCACTGGTTCTGATCGTGTCCCAGTTGGGGGAATGTCTAAAATGAAATTCACTATTGCACGTCAAGGTGCTGATACAAATAGGTAGGAGAGAGTGACTATATATATATATATATATATATATATATATATGATTTTTCGTTTTTTTACCCTTACTCCTCCTGTTGAGCATACAATTCTCATGATTATTATATTATTATTATTGCCTTGGGTTCCTAGTGGAACATAGGGCTTCAACTGCACGCCTCCACTTGCTTCTGTCTTCTGTTGTACTTTTCACCTGCATCCATGTTAATCCATACTGTTTCAACTCCTTTTCACACGATCTCCTCCATGTCACTCTTGGATGTCTCACTCGCCACTTCCCTTTCGGGTTCCACTCGAGCACTGGCCTGACGCGCGATGTCACCCAGCGGCCTCTCCTGCATATTTGTTGGGTGATTGGTTCTTGTTTTGTTGCTTCCCATAGTTTCTTGTTGGTAATTCTTTCCGGCCATCTGATCTTCAGTATAGAACGAAGACAGCTGTTGATAAAGGTCTGCAACCTGTTGGAAATATTCTTTGTGACCCGCCGCCAACTTTCTGATCCGTATAGAAGAACTGACTGACTTGACGTTTGTATTAAAATTCCGAATTTTGTTGTTGATGCAGGCTGAGTGACGAAGATTTCCAGATTGGTTTCAGGTTGATGAATGTGTTTCTCGCCTTCCCAATTCTCGATTTGACACATCCTCCTCCGTTCCTCCTGTAGTTGAGACAATGCTCCATAGATATACACTTGCCGGTGTCTGAGACAGATAACGAAGACACAGGGGTGGTTGATGAAGGCAATCCACTGATCATCATCTAATCAACTGAAAAGATTTGAGAGAGAATCACTTCGTTTTTAGTAACCTAGGCAGCATTATTTCAACTTTAAGTGAAATGGATGGATGTATAAGGCTTTCAAAGCCAGTGGCTGAATGAATACCAGCTAGCGCGTGCTCGCCAAGTTCCTGGCCGATGTATATGAGAATTGACCGCCTTAACATTAGTGTTGAAAATTTGAATTTTTTTGTTAATGCTGCACAGTGCAGAAGATTTCCAAACTGACTTCAGAGTGGCGATTGTCTGACTTGCCCTTCCAGTTCTAGTTTTGACATCCTTATCCGTGCTGTCTGTCGTCTGTAGTTGAAAGTGTACTGCCTAGATAAGTGAAGGAAGTGATCCTTTTAAAATAAAAAATGTATTCCGTTCATAGTGATTGGTGTTTGTTGTTGCTGGTTGGTTGGCTACCTACCTTCACCACCTTTGTTTTCTCTATGTTCACTTGAAGTCCTGTCTTCGCTGCTTGCCTCCTCGTCTACAAGTTTGTTGGTTTTTTTCACTTGTAAATCGTTGAGATTGTATGACATTAGACGTAAATCATCCGCGAAGTTGATATATAGATTGAGATGGCTAGGTCAGGTGCTGTGCATGCCTAACCATCGCCTCCCCCGACGGACGGGCATTACTAGCTGATATAGGTGCAGGTTGTAAAAGAGTAAGTGGTAGCCAAACAAAAACATGACCTCATCAATCCATAAAATCCTTGACAGTTAAACTGAGTCAGGGAGGGAGGGAGATGCAGACTTCCGGGTTGGGGCCCGCCCTCGGGACTCTAAGAATCAATGGCTAGAGACAATAGGTGAAATGGCTGAAAATCGTAGTCAATGGCTTACGCAGATGTATTCAGTCTCTGTAATCTTTCATATTCCTTTCTACCATTACTCATTCGGTTTCACTCTTGTACTTGTCAAAACTCTATTGATTCTCTTCACTCATCTTCTTGTCTACCTTTGTGTGCTATTTGGAATGTGGCAACTGGAACCGCTGCACTTCGTTGCCGAGTTCTATGTTGAATTTAGACAGATAGACTAACTTCGAAGTCTTCGCTGAGTTTTCTATTGTGGATCACTTGACATATTACATTGTCGTATAGCTCATGAATAATGTGGTTGATAAAGATTTGAGACACTTCACACAGTTATTGATGTAAGCAGTCTCCAAATTACTTTTTGCGATCAACAATTGTAAAAGTCAGCTATTGTTATCAGGCGATCACATGAATAATAATAAATGAAATTTATGGCAAAGTTAAACTTTAAGCAGCACTAACTGCCAATCAGCGAATGACCTTGAACGCACCAATCACGTGAAGGGGACATTTTTGTGTATGGAATACTCATATTTATGAAAATATTGCACAAAAACTATAAACGTGTTGCAGAGGATATCTGTAACGACTGAAGACAAGGGCCAGGCAACAGATCGTTCATTGTGAAAATCAACAGATATTTATAGATTTTTATGTACATTATTATTCGTAATTGTCAGTAGAGAAGTAACGTCTTCTGATTGGTTGTTTTCCTGCTGAAGGTTATTCTGTCATCTCTTTGTGGCTGTTTCTTAGGCAGTCCGTTGATATATCTGCGAATCGTATCCGCCCACGCATAGTTTTCTGTGATTGGTTGTGGAGTTAGTCTTTGTTCATTTTTTTCGTGCTCATGTCCAAGATTTGGGACGTGAACATTGACGTGAATTGCTGTCTACCAATTTTGGCTAGTAGACAGCTCTCACCACATACCATCCTGGCACATGTGATAAAGATTGCTCTCAGTTTTAGATTGGTGTATCAACAGAGTATAATTCCATTGTAGGTTAAATTTATTTTGATAAAGCCACATAATTTTATGCAGTAATATTTCCTGAACAATAAATGGTACTCGAAACTTCATCAGTAAATATTACTGCATAACACTCTGAGACTTTATCAAAATAAATTTCACCCACAATGGAATTATACAAGTTCCATTCTTCTATCAACAGAGTAATTTGACCACATTCTCTGCATGTAATTATTTAAATCTTCTAACCGTAACAATAACCCTAATCTTTCCTGAACCTAACCCTAACGTGAAAATATCCCTAAACTAACTGTAATCTAACTCGAACCAACCTTAATGTCGCTTTTATTAGACTAACCTAACCCTAACTTGTCCTTGGCCTAAAGCGTAACTTAATCTTTCCCAAACCTAACCCGAAACTTGCTAAATATCCCATTTAATATCATAACACTTCGATGAGCATATTTTATTGATGATGAAAAAATTATTTGTCAGGTTTCTCTAACTTGCTCAGTGAGCGTTTTGAAGGTCCTTGGTGCGGTTACACTGCATTGGTAGTGAGTGGTGCTTAAAGTTTAACTTGGGCAAATTTATTTTTAATAGTGATATTCGCTAGTGGTCGCACCATATTATGAATTAGCAGAAGATGGGATTCATGGACACCAGTGGATCCGGTTCCCAGTGGCTTAATAGTCTACGAGCTCGCCAGCCTTGCAACCAGAAGGTCCTGGGTTCAATGAGTGCGTACTGCTGGAGAGTCCCAAACCAGTGGGACGAAATAGCTGTCCAGTATTCCCTGTAGGTTTTCCTATGGTCCTCTAACCTATGTCAATTCATGATAAAATCCTGAAACTAGTCAAATCCGTGCAAACCAACGCTTGAATAAAAAACACTTGGATGTACTCATATATACGTAACATTGAGCTCTGAGTGTTGTTAGAGTTCTGCTGATACTTTCTAGTCGCGGGGATTTCTGTAATCCGAATGGATAATTATCGTTCTACTGAAGAGGCTATTCGAGTCCATGTAAACTTTGATTGTCCTGACGTTGTAAAGCTGATTGATTAAAATTGTGGACCTGTGTAGGATTTCCTTAGATATATATAGTCTTTTCGATAATTAGTCAATTATCTTCCTCACTGCATCTTCATTCAGAGTTCAATATAATAGTGGAACTGTAGCTGATTGTTCTAGTTAGGTGGTCGACGTTTTACCACTTGTGTCCCAAGTTCAAATCTCTCTCCACACAGCGAGGTTTAATCAAGCGTTTGGTAGTTTAATCACCGCTAACACAATAATTGTGGCTGATTGTCCGATGTTTTCAGTGTCAGTTGACATGTCGGCACCTCCGCTTTGACTATACCTCAGGATCAACATGATGGTATTTGGTGGAAAGTGGTGTGTCTAGTGGATGCTAACACTTTGGTGTTTGAAACGATAGGTATTGGAAGAGCTACTCTCTCACTCGTCACACTGCTGAGGTCTAGCTGACGAGTTGTGAATAGGACGAAATGCGCCTCCTGAATTCCACCAGTTAAGAACAGTTATTTTTTAAAGTTTGTCATAGTTTATCTTTATGTTTTACTCATTCTTCTTATTATTATTACTCGTGTTTTTTTTTCTATTTATCCCTCACAGGTTACCCTCTGCTCATACCTGTTTCAATATCCTTTTACTACCAGAATATCAAAGTTTAGAAAAGTTGAAACAATCTCTGCTACTGGCTATTACGCATTGCAAAGGATTTGGAATGTCATAAACACCGCCAACTCTTTTGCTTTTTTGTCTTCTCTTCAAGCACTAGTAGCAGAGGAGTACTGTGTGTACTGTACTCAATGAAGAATGGCTATATATAAAAAAAATATCTTTTCGTGTTTTTCTGCTTGTTCTGTCTCTGTCTGTCTGTTTGTTTGTCTGTTTATCCTTTTCTAGTAAAAAGTGTGTTTGTGTGCGTGTGTGTCTGACTTCGCTCACAATTTTCAGCCACACCTACACACAAACATACACGAGTTTTTTGAATGTGTACATACAGCATACGCGTATTTACGTGTTGCAAATGTAAATTACTCGTATATTAATTATCGTCATCATCATCCTCGTCCTCGACGTCGACGTTCTGATGATGATTTCTGTCGTTATAGTAATTCAATTTACAATTTGAACTCTAACATATATATATATATATAGACAGTATTGATGTGTGTGTGTATGTTTGTGGAGGGTGGGGATCGAGATTGTATCTCTCTCTCTCTTGACGACAATCCCTGTCTACTTGGGAGTTAAAACAAGACGGGGTAGAGTGCTGGTGGTGGGGGTGGGCGGAAATCAATAAATATGCGAAACGAAACAATACTGAATACTGTCAGTATCTGCTATAATGTTGTTGTGGTATTGTTACGTCATATATTATACTCCATCTCTACACATACATATAAAGATGTTTGTCTATTAGTAGAATAATACGGCAGTGAAATAAAAACCCACCACCACGGTTTAGTTCATATAATTGGTTATTATTGTTATTATTACTATTACTATAACATTTGTCGGTGAGTCAGTCAGCTACGACGACATCGTTACACTGTCGCCCCCTCAACCAACCACACACCTATTTATATATCCCAAATGTTTCAAATATGACTGTGGTTGCAACTGATGAACATATACACTCACCCACACACACACACACCTTGATGATATTAGTGAATAAAGGTGTATTCTAAGTTGAATTGATAGTGTTATTCATCAATATGTTCTGTTCTATGGATGATAACAAGCTCAGCATACTCTCAGAGCAGCTATGCTAATGATGTTCTCTGTCTGATATCCGACAACAGGAATTCGTCTTCTACATGTTCCCACTCTTTCTTCCTTCCAAGCATGTACTCCAGCTTATCGACAAAAACTCGTATATTGTTTCATTTTATTCTTCTTTTTCTTCTTCTTCCTTGTCTTCCTCCTCTTGAAAGGTTGTTCTTACAGAAATGTTGAACGCTCTGCTGCGATGACGACGTCACTGTGGGTTGGTTGAGTTTGATTCTTTCTCATTCTCCTTCCCTCATCTGTCTTTCACTCTTTCTCTCTCTGTGTGTATGCGTGTGTGTTTGTGTGTTTCTCTGATTGTCTTTACTGTTTGCGTGAATTTATCGTTCTCCTCTTCATATTATTATTATTATTCGTCGTATGATTCAATGCTTTCTATTAGTATTATTGACATAATTCTATATATACATATATATACTACTGTTATTACCGGCATAGACAGTAGTATATACAAATATACGTGTGTGTATGTATGTATTTGTTGAAAGTAATGATTAGATTTTAAAAATAAACAAATAAATGAATAAAAATATTTCTTGTTAATATACTGATTAGTCAGTATTGTTTTTCCTCACCATCCCCCCCGGGACGGGACTCGCTCCCCAACCCCCCCACCAACGCTGTGCTTGTTATGTATATTTTACGATTGCTCCGTGTGTTTGTATGTATGTATGTATGAGGATGCTGATAATAAAATTTTGTTAATGGATTGTCAAGTATTGCTTTACGGCAAAGATTTCATCGGTTACAGGAATGATCACTGTCAGATAACTGTTTCGTCCTAGTTGGGAGGACTCTTCTGTAGGACGTACCCACCCACTGGCAGGGTGGGTTCGAACCTAGCAGTTCTCGGTTACAAGTGAATTTGATAGGCCATTCAACAATCATTGGGATTCGATCTAATGGCCAGTTCATGAATTCCAACTTCTACACCATAACCACCAGCCAATGTCCATCGGTGGCGCGAGTATTCGCTCTCACTCCCACCCGACAGATTGGATCCCATTGGTTACGACTTTTCAGTAGAACCCATAGATAACTACTTCCTGTATAGAGCCTATCACGAGTAAGCAGCAGGGATTTGATTGGTAACCGGTTTCTGATTATAGCTTGATTCTACACCGTATTTTCGGTACAAGTATGGAATTTTAAGCATGTGATATTGGTAGCCCAAATTTTGCAGACTGACCGTCGATATCAGGTGTGCGTCGGACGCGGATCGAACCCTAGATCATGTGCATGGTCGGCGAGAGTCCTCACCACTGTGCCACCGACGCACACAAAATTGGTTATTAGTTGGTGTTCAGAAATTTTGTGGTCGGTAAATTGAACGCTGTTGTTTACATATCCGTTCGTGTATGCTCAGTCAGTCATCTCTTCTCCCTTGACGAGTAATGTGAACTGTTATAGGACTAGGCTGGCAAAGAATTAGACCAAATCAATTCATGAAATCGTTGACAGTTGGTTTAGGTCAACTTATTGGTGAGAGGTGTAGACTGCCTAGTTAGAGTAAGAGCCAATGGTCGGAGGAATTCACTCTTTGTAACCTGCCAGATATATTGAGCCACCATGTTTTCCTATGGCATTCATTATTCTTTCTTTAATACATTTCTGCTCATTATACTTTTTGGGAACTTTTCTCCCTACATTTGTCTGCGCTACATGGAGTGTTTGGCAACTTGAACTGGCGCATTTCTCTACTAAGTTCTATGTTGAAACGGTCAGTCAGTTAGTCTGAGTCTGTTCGTCAAATTTTAAAGTGTAAGATTGATTTGTTGAACTGAAACTACGATGTAGCTTGCCTCCTTGTGGACTTGATCCCTGGTTGGGGTTAAGGGCGCCAACTACTGAAGAGTATCAGACTAAGACGAAACCGCTTTCCAATGTTGTGCTTCGTTCTCATTGGTTCTCCTCAGCTTACCAAGCTTGACACCTAATTATTGCTTTTAATCATGGAATTTATTCAGTTTTAAGTATTGTGGAGGGTGGGAGAATAACAGGAGGTGTTCATTCGTAGATTTCAGGAACACTTTCTTCGGGTTAATTACCTCTGGCTCCATAAGTGGTAATTAAGTAAGGTAGTTTTGGTTAACTAGGACTCTGTGTTTATCGAGTCACTCTACCATGATTATTTACAGCTTATCTATAAACTAATTACCTGATCCGCTTAGTGCATGTTCCATTTTATAGAGGAACACAAAGTGTTTTTTAAAACACTTTAACTGCCTTGCTTATAGAAACTAATAATAATAATAATAATATACACTGTTGCAAGAAATAATGAATTTCCAAATTTTAAGCCATTGAAGATGATGAGAACAGTGTGTATTTGCCCTCACACCCTACCTGGTGGACCGCTGTGGTCACGACAACGCGCTAGAACTCCAGTGGGGCTACCAGGTAGGGTGTTGAGGATAAGTACTCACTGCTAGTCGTGCTAAAATCACAAATTCATCTGACATTGGGGCAGATCTTACTGGTTGAATGGTCTACGGGCTAGCTTACCTTTTAACTAGAAGGTTGTGGGCTCGACCCCCGTGTGGTGGCTGCGTACTGGTGAAGAGTCCCCAGGTGGGATCAAACAGTTGTCTACCAGTATTCCCTGAAGGTTTCCAATGGTTCTCTAACTGATATCAATCCTTACAAACTAAATTTTGTAAACGTTTTTTAGAAAAAGAGGTTTGAGAGTCATCCTGGCGGGAATGTTTTCAATGTCTTATGCTTGTCTGCTTTAACTTGTTTTGTGAATAAGTGATAACTAAGAAAGAGAAGAAGACGCAACAGCAGAGATCGATTTTTGTTTTGGGGCGTCTGTTTGATTACTTACTGGGACTCTTCAGTGGCAGGCATTTATGATCCTACAACGGACCAATGGGGAAGTCATGATCAGTGGTGTTTACCATGGTTAGGTGGGCGGATAAATGCCTGTCGATGATTATTGGCTAACGGTTGGGCTTTATCGCAAATTGGCGGAAGTTGAAATCCTTAGGTCTTTTTTTTACCTCCTGTCTTAGTAGCTGAGTGGTCTACGAATTTGTCTTGTACCCCGAATTGTCGTGAGTTCGATCATGGATGCGGCCTAATGACGAGAGTAGTCTCAAAGTAGGATGAAACAGTCGTCCAGTTATTCTTGATCAAATGAAAACAATGATACAAAGTGCATTTCTTAATGTGAGGTGTAGTAATCTAAAAACGGAATGTTCAAGTATTGGTTAAGAAGCTGAGGTTATGTTGTTAGTGTAACGTAACAAGCTTTAGAGATAACCTAATCTGTTATAATAGACAAATTAATGGAAATTAGATGTTCAAATGAAATCTTTATCAGAAGTAAATACCAAAGAGTAAAATCAAACAAAATTACAGCAAAAATGTTATTCCGTCTTTGGTAAGACAAAAGAGTCCATGTATATGTATTACCTACTTTTGAACTCAGAGGTTCGGTTGGGTTCAAGGTCCCGATTAGCCAGTAATTTGAAGCCATCTTGTGCAATAATTCTATGAGACTCTGTAGTTCATGCAGGGGTGCTAAAAATGTTTTGAGTTGACAGTAGGCCTTTTTTCTCATCCCTGGTTATCAAGGTTAGGTTTCGTATTTTTCAAATCATGTTAACAGAGATGATTCCTTACGTGGGTAGTACCAACCAACACTACTAGTTTTTAATGCATACTTGTAACATTCACATTTTGACTACTCCACACATTGCATAAGACATTTTCTAGAACGTAATTACCAGTATTTATTTAATTGGTTTTTTCGTGATTGTATAGCTGTTGAAAATGATTCGTCTTTGTTGTTGTGTCTTCCTTTTATGACTCAATATAGGTATTTTCTGTTCAATATTATTATTATTATCGTTCCCTTGAGTTCCTAGTGGAACACAGGGCTTCAACTGCACGTCTCCACTTGTTTCTGTCTTCTGCTACTTTTCACCTGCATCCATGTTAGTCAATACTGTTTCAGCTCCTCTTCACACGATCTCCTCCATGTCACCCTTGCACTGACGTCCCGCTGGCCGCTTCCCTTTCGGGTTCCACTCGAGCACTGGCCTGACGCTCGATGTCACCCAGCGGCCTCCTCAGCGAGTGAGGGTCCAATTGGCTCCTGTTTTGTTTGTTCCCATAGTATTGAAAATCTGTTCAATAAGTGACTATTAATATTGTTATTATTATTAATAATCACTTGGGTTCCCAATTGAACATAGGGGTTTAACAGTACATCTCCGTCTCATTGTTTTCTCTACAAACCTGTTTAGGTGGTTCCAGGATTTCTCATCTCCTCACATATGATCTTCGGTATGTCATCCATTGATCCACTCCCAATTCGTCGCTCCTTTTTCATTCAGGTTCCACTCGAAGGTCTCTTCAGCGTGTCCCCGATATATCTATCGGTTTCCTTGTGCATATTTATCGAGCAATAGGTTTTCGGATGATCCATTCCCCGAGTTCATAATGTTTTCAGGCCATCCAATCTTCAGCATTGGGTCAGCGAAGTGAACAGGGCTGTTGATGAAAGTCTATAGTAGTAGTGTAACAACAGAAGACAAGGGCCAGGCAACAGATCGTTTATTAAGGAAAATCAACACATATTTATAGATTATAATGTGCATTATTGTAGATTATTGTTAGTAGAAAATACAGTCTGTTGATTGGTTGTTTTTCACAGAAAGTTAACCTTGCATCTCTTTGTGGCTGTGTCAGATCATCCATATGCTAACTGTATCTGCCTACGCAAAGCCTTTGTTCTCATTTTCTCACCAACAATATTGGGGACATAAACATTGACGTCAATTACTGTCTACCAACTTTGGCTAGCAGCCAGCTGTCACCACATTAGTAGTAGTAGCCTGTTGAAGTGTCCGCCAATTCTTCGAACCATATAGAAGCAGTGACTTGACATGAATGTTTGAAAATCTGAATCTTATTCTTCTTTATGCTGATTGGAGCAGATTTTCACATTGATGGCGGTTTTTTGATGAAGGTTTGCCTTTCTACAGAAACCTCAAACTGTTCAACTCCCCCTCCCCCTTGCCCCCATAAAGGAGACACTCGCTACAAACTCGGTACAACAATATAAGACTGATAACAGTAAAACTTAAAACAAAAGACCAATAAAAAGATAGGATAGAGCCAAACAAACTGGCTGGCTCTCACGAGGTATGCAACATAGACGGCACTGAAATAGAAACCAAGTGGGAAATTTAATACCTAGGCGTCATTCTATTTGCTGATCTTTCCTGGTCGTCTCATATCTTGACGATTTCTAAGAAAATATTCCGTCTTACCTTCTACATCAAGAAGTTAAAACATTCTGGTATAACCCAACCCTTACTCCTACGATTCGTTAACTCTCGCATCCTGCCCATTATTCTCTATTGTTCCCCCTTAGTTTTTCTCGGGCTACTGAAGAAAGACTATAACATATGACGCAGGATGTTAAAGGTTGTCAGCAGGGTAAGCAGCGTGTCACTTAACTAGCTTGTTAATATTCTGGTCGACAGGCACATGGACTCATGTGAAAAATGGGCCAAATCCATTTATCTAATTCACACCACCTTCTTCACTCACAACTCTCCCCTTGCATCTCAGGTAAAACCAGAAGCCAATATAGAAAACTATATGCTCGCACCAGCAAGTACAAAAACTCAAGCATAACCTACTTAGCTGGTGTTCTGTGTGATAAAGAAAGCATTAGGCGTGACACCTATAATTCATTAAATAGTCAGTAGTACAACTGGGCCTCGTCTTTCCAACTCATATCATTCATAGGTACAACATTTTCTTTCTTTCTTTTCTTTTTCTCTCTCTTTTTCCTGTTATGTGCTGCTTTGTTTCTTTCTCTCGCTTACGCCAGTAAATATGATAGCACCTACTTTTCTAACACCTTCAAACACTGTTCAGCTTTACCTCTGCTACCGACATGCCAATATGTTGTTGCCATAATGAACTGAGATTTCCTTTATCTGTGTAGAATTCTATTTGTTGACAATGTACCAACTGGATGCAATACTGTAGTAGAAATGCTGAAAATTCTATTCTGTATCACAAGTACTATTTTGGAATAAAACAAATTATTATTATTATTGAATAAGTCGGCTGTAGAATGTCTCTGTTCAGCATGTGAAATTCATTTTTTGGTCACCTATCATTGAAGCTAATAGATACAGAGGCTGATTTATTGAAGGTTGGTTCTATTGAAGAAATAGTAAACCTTTAAAAAAAATTGGAAAACGTTATCGGAATTTGTTATTTCAGCTTTTTGTTAGTAGTGAACATGATGATACCAAAACCAACGTTTATTCTTATTATTATTTCTTTTCAATTCCCACTATATTTCACGTGTAATCAATGTGATGGACACGTGTGTTAACGTAATTACATAGTGAATTGAAGAAAAGAAAGCTATTGGAATATTGTTATGCAATCTGTTATTATTATTATCACCAGTAGTGAACAAATTCAGTAGTACATTTGTCTTTGAACTAGTTTCCTGACAATTCTTCAGTTTTGACCAACCTCCTATTATTGGTGGTTAAATCTCTCTGACTGTGATTCACATATATTCAGAATCTCATAATTGGTAATAAAAACGGTGTGAATGTTACCATGGTCATGACTAGTCCAGTATAGTGTTTGTATGACGTTCAGGTCGATGTCCTCAATAAACAGTGACTCGAAACCTATTTGTGCATCATTATCAGGGGAGGGGGCTGCTGCTACAGGACTGGACTACATCAACTCCTGGCTTAGTGATACGGAGTGAAGTGATAGAACATGTTGACCACTTCACCTATTTGGGAAGTTGTATCAGCACCAACGGAATGATTGGCGACGAAATCTCAGCACGGATCCAAAAAGCTCGAGCTGCTTTCGCTAACTTACACCATCTCTGGTGTAGGCGTGACATTCAGCTATCAACCAAGGGACGTGTGTACTGCTCAGCAGTTCACTCGGTCCTTCTCTATGGCTCTGAAACATGGCCAATACGAGTTGAAGGCATTAAAAGGTTGACTATTTTTGACCATAGATGTTTACGATCTCTCTCTTTCGCGTTAGGTGGTATAATAAGGTAAGTAATGTTGACGTTAGGTGTAGAGCGTTGGGCAAAGAGGGAAAATCAATCGAAGAGGCTATAAAGTTACATAGATTGAGATGGCTAGGTTAGGTGCTGCGCATGCCTAACCATCGCCTCCCCCGACGGGCATTACTAGCTGATATAGGTGCAGGTTGGAAAAGAGTAAGTGGTGGCCAAACAAAAACATGGCCTCATCAATCCATGAAATCCTTGACACCTCAACTGAGTCAGGTTAGGGAGGGAGATGCAGACTTCCAGGTTGGGACTCTCGGGACTCTAAGAATCAATGGCTGGAGACAATAGGTGACATGGCTCAAAATCGTTGTCAATGGCTTACGCAGATGTATTCAGTCTCTGTAATCTTTCATATTCCTTTCTACCACTACTCATTCTGTTTCACTCTTATACTTGTCAAAACTCTATTGATTCTCTTCACTCATCTTCTTGTCTACCTTTGTGTGCTGTTTGGAACGTGGCGACTCGAACTGCTGGACTTCAGTGCCAAGTTCTGTGTTGAATCCAGACAGACGGACAAAGGGGAGGGGGCGTCTGTGAACCATTCTGAAGCACTTATGTTAGAGTACCCAACGTCTGTAATTGACTAAATTAGGAATATTTTTTGCCGAGCGACCGACTTATGTCTTTTTAACTTAAGTTGGAAATTTACATAGTTTTGTCCTTGGGCTTGGATGCTGTCTGGGTGCCTAGACTGAAGCAAGTGGTTGTCTTAAGAAGCCTCTGACTTGAAGTCTGGTCCATGAGGCAGTGGAACAGTGTCAGCGCCTAGGTTCCTATGGTTTCCACTGACTAAAACCGGTTTTTACGTCATTTATTTCCTTTGGATTCTTGAGCCCATGTACATGGTAGGCTTGTAAACCGGGTTTTGAAGCTATTCTGGACAGATGTAAGTGCCCATCACTCCAGTGTTAGCGCCAGACCTTCGTGGGGAACAGTCGGACTGTGAATAGAACTTACTTGACAGGGGCCTTGAACTCGTGGCTGAAGTCCATCCATCTTTGTTTATGGAGGCAATCTGGGATTCGGTAGGCATCTAAGCTTTTCTAAAGGCTAATATAAGTTTAATCTTAACATTATGTGTGAAGATGACTCCTTTTTTACTTCCTAAAAAAAGCTAAAACTCAATGTACAGTGGTCACATAAAATCTTTTTCAAAAATCTTTTCATCCATTGAAGGAATTGCATAAATGGTGACTAATACTGGGCTCCAGAATGTGCATTTCACCCTATCCAGGACTCGTCAACTGGATGTGCCTGTATCCTCCAATGAGTGATGATTTTCTGAATGAGTCTTGAACTCAGTACCCATAGTTTTTAACATCAAAGCGTGTTATGCACTAGACCCCTTTGACCAGGAATTACCACGTGGGTTCCAGGACGTACACTTCAGCCTATTTGTGACTCGTCAGCTTCGTATTCCTGACCCAAATAGTCTAGTGGCAATTGAGACAAAGGGTGTCCGGTTCGAGTCTTAGCGGGAACATCACTACTCACTGGGGACTATAGGTAAATCCAGCTAGTTGACGAGTCCCTAACAGACGTAAATGCGCTTCTTGGAATTACTTCAAGGTAGTTATCAGATATCGTTGAAGCGTCTGTACTAGAAAGCGGAAATGTAAACTGATGCCGGTTATTTCGATTCAATCCACCAATCAATCCATCAAGCAACCGGGAAATCAGAATTGAATTAAAAACAATTCATTTTTTTGTAGTCTTTTTAAAAGTGTGCGTTTATAAACTACTTTTGTTAACATTTCAGTAGTTTTTTGTACTCCTTGAATTATTATTTTCTACTTCTTTTTTTGTTACTTTTATTTATTAAAATTAGACATTTAACTATGAATATTGATTCAGTGAATGATATACCGGATACAGTTTACAAACAATTCGATTGTTTAGATGTTCTACGTTTAGCAACAGTTCGTGCAGCTGAGTTAGCAGCATTTGAGTCAAGTGTTGATGTTCTTACAGCTTCTGCACTGACAGGACTTCAACGTCTTCCAATTCGTTTACGTAGACGTGCTGCAAGTCATCGGATTAATAGACTACCTCGGCGGTTTCATAAACATCATCATTTATTGAAAGGGAATAATAATAATAATGATAATAAAAATAATAGTAATAATGATAATAATGTGAAGAATAAGAATGGATCTCATTCTGAGGTATGTGATTCCTTTTTTCGGAACTTTGTTGAAAACTTTTAATGGCGTTAAACAGTTTGCGTATATAAACAGGACGGAAGTACTTTAGATTCCGTCGCTGTCCTATATCATCATAATATTGTTTCCTCCTTAGACAAAGAGATCAAATATGTCCAATGTCCCTACCCTGACTACACACATCTGCTTTTGACTCTGTACCCAGATGCCTTTTGTTAGCTAAGCTTTCGGTGACTCTAAACTAGAGCAGCCCAAACCGAAACTACCTAGCGAACGGATGAGTGACCTTGAGCAACCAATCAGGTTACTCCGTATTATCCAGGCGTACTTATGGATACTGTACACCTTTTGCGTTGTGAATTCGCTCCAGATCTTGTTTTTGATATTACTGTTTGGAGAACAGACTTCTAGGAAGGTTGAAAAAGTGTGAATGTGGAGGTGTCATGTATATACAAAGATGCACTAGGTACATCGGTGGATTTGTTTACAGGTTCAATGGGGTGCCGAAACAGAAAGTCAGTTCGACAAGGTATGTCGTTCTTTTTTAGTTTACAGATTCCGTAGGTGTCATAACTGGGTGCTTAAAGGACGAGTAACAGCAACCACGTATGAATCAGAAATTAAGAAGTATCTGCGGTACAATGGTAGCAGTACTGCAGAGACATAACATCATGGAAAATGAACAGACTGACTCAAGTACTTGGCGGAATTGGCGTCATTGTTCACTTGGATGAGACAGTGCTGATGAAAAGAAAATATAATTGAGGGAGATTGACTGCGAATCAGCAGTGCGTGTGTTGGGGATATATAACACCACCCTCCACAAAGGATACATTGAGGCGATCCCTAATCGCAATGCAAGTGTCTTATTGCGTATTATCCAACGCTTAGTGCTGCCTGGAACAACTGTTCATAGTCAGCTATCAAACCTGGGCTTTATTCATTACGTCGTCAACCATACAAATGATTTCATCAATCCTTTCGATGAAACTCACACTAATTCCATCGAAAATTTTTGGAGTCATTTCAAAAAACGGATCAAATCTGTGAATGGATCAAGAAATGCAATGATATACAGTTATCTCGATGAGTTCATCTACAGGGCTTAGTTTAACATGACTATGAAGACTCCTATGAGAAATTGGGAGGGTTTTTTTCGAACAAATACGAGAACGTTATCCTTTATAACAATTTTTTTAAACATTGCATTTCTTTTACACAAACATTTTATTGAAATTAGACGCCGTTTCTATAGAGGCTTCTGATTGGTCAAAGATGTCGTTGTCATTTATCCGTTCGCTAGGTGGTTTCGGTTTGGGCTGCTGTAGTTTATAGTCACTAAGCTTTCCTTGACACAAACCGAGTTCTGGGCTGTTAACTGGTTGGTTGGATTCTTATTTCTCTGACAAAAAACAGTATATCGTATGTAGAAAGGTAAATCTTCCTCTGTCTTGCTTCCTGAAGTCGGTGTCTCTCAGCGTGCTGTTCTGTCTTCTCTTCTCTTTTCCTTCTTCTTTCGGAAGAAATCAAATCAACTTTGTTAAATACACACTGATGATATGACTGTTCCAAACTGAATAGCTTTGCGTCCGACATTAGCCACAATGGTTCAGGCTAAATGATCTTGCCTTAAATCCCTGTAACTGTCAGACAGCTAACTTCACCTTCAGACATAACCGTGATCTTCACAAACTTGTTCGGTCACAAGATGCTTGTAACAAAGGGGTCGCTGAAATAGAAACTAAGTCAGGTATAAGTTACCTTGGATTGGTTCTATCCCCTCACCTTTCTTGGTCGGTCATCCCACATCTTGTTAATTTGTGAGAAAATGTTCCATCTAACCTACTACCTTAAGAAGTTTGGACAATCAGTTTGGTATTACTCAACTCTTGCGTCTTAGTTATTGTTCTTTACTCTTCCCCCTTAGTCATTCCTAGATTAGTCAAAGGAGACTATGTCATATTGTGAAGGATATTAAAGGTTGTCAGTAGAGCAATTGGTGTCCCACTAAGTCAGCCAAGTCATTGCTATCCCAGTCAACAGACATCTGGACTCATGTGAGAAGTGGTCTGAATCCATATTGTCTGGCTGTCAACATTCTATTCTCAACTCTCTCCGTCTTGCATCTTATCAGGTAGAAACAGAAGTCATTATAGGAGATTCTATACCCCTATAACCAAGTAGAGGAACTCAGCGAAAGCCGCCTATGTGATAGAGGAAGTGTTCAGCGTGAAACCTACAACTTACTATGTAGTCAGCTCTCGCGCCACTCCCCTTACCAACCCTGTGTGTACAAAAACAATTTGGTTTTACTCTCTTAACCCCTACCTTAGTAATCCTTATCTGACTAGATAATGAAATGTGGTGTTAATTATTACTATTCCTAAATCCTTTTTGTCAATTTGTGCCTTTTAATTAGCCTTTATTTTTCATATAAATTGATTTGACAAGCAAATGTCTGGTCACTAGACAGTTGGAGGCAATCGTCAAGAAGCCTTTACTTGACCTACGTTTCGTGCCTGTTGACACTCGTCAGCAAGGTATTCATGCAACCTTAAGGCAACTCATGTCCCGTCTGAGATTTGAACTGACATCAGTCAGTAATGCAGTCAGAGACGTCACCACTAAGCTGTTAGGGCGTGGGACTGACTTTCAATAGGACTGTATTGGTAACTTTTAATTGGACATTAGTTAGTAACCACTGTCGTGTATCTAGTCCTTTATTTGGTGCAGTCTGAATTCTATCAGTCAGCTTTGTCGTGTGGTCACCATGCTCTAGGTGGCTCTCTGTGACAGTGTTGTAAGCAAAAGACTAGATGTACGCCACTAATTAGTTTGAACAAAGCAAGAACTACAGTTTTAACAGGTGGTACCATCTTTTATTTCGTTGCCTTCTCGTCAGCTGCTTACAGGGCAAAGACATTATTAAATATATCTGCAAAAACAATTTTAACATACTTGCACAGAGTTCATTTTAAACAAAAATCAATCGATCAATATATGCATACAGTAATTATATTTATATATATATATATATATATATATATATTACCATTGAACATATATATATATATGTAATATTAAGCACTTCTCAGCATTTCGCATTCGTATGAAAGAGAGATGAAAAATATCCAGTTACCAGGGCAAAGAAAGACTGATAATTGCTTCTTTCAGGACTCATAAATCAGGTTTCAGGCGCTTGATAGAGATGGCTTCAGCAAACTTGAGGAGAATTGAGCTCTTTTGCCCATTCGTAATGTTGAACGACTTTTCGACGTCCACCTCATGGCCCGTGTCGAGGAGATGCCTGGCAATGGCACTGTTTAAAGCATTTGTTCCCTTTAGACGTAAGCTTTAAGGTACATGTTCAGAAAATCGTAGATATGCCTTTCTTTCTGTCCTTCCAATGTAACTGCTCCCGCAGATTCATGTAAATTTGTATATAGAGTTGGAGGTAACATGAGAAGGATATCTGTCGATTTTTGATTGCAACCAACAGCAAGTTGTTTGATAGATAGGAACGAGCTTAGCTGCAGGATAGGCTATGACTAGTGATGTGCTCAGCCTTCTGTTGAACATCGCTGCAATGTTTTCACCTTTATAATCAAGCTCAAAGTAGATTGGCTTTTTTCTTACTGTGATTTGTTTTACATTTGTGACTTCAGATCTTCCATACTTGTTGATAAGCCTTTGAGGGTACCCATTGCTCTTGAATATCTTTCCAAGAAACTCAAATTCTTTCTCTAATTTCTCTATAGAGCATTATTGTTCAATTAAAAGTACCAAATACAATCCTACAGGAGGTCCATCGCTAGTCCGAATAGCTCAATGGTAACGTCTCTGACTGACTGCATTAGTGACAGATGTGGGTTCGAATCTCAGGGGCGACATATGAGTTCCTTAAAGATTACAGTTACACAAAACGTAAGTCAAGCAAGGCCTCCTCCTGTAGTCGATTGCCTTTAACCATCTAATAAACAAGAATTCAGAGTACATCATGATGTCGACTCACCCTAGTAGCATGGTGGTGGCCACATTGCAAACTTGACTGACTGATAGAATTCAGTGTGCACAAGACAAAAGGACTGTCTGTCTGTCTGGATTCAGTATAGAACTTGGCACTGAAGTGCAGCAGTTCGAGTTGACACGTTCCAAATACCACACAAAGGTAGACAAGGAAATAAGTGAAGAGAATCAATAGAGCTTTGACAAGTATAACAGTGAAACAGAATGAGTAATGGTAGAAAGGAGTATGAAAGATTATAGAGACTGAATACATCTGCGTAAGCCATTGACAACGATTTTGAGCCATGTCACCTATTGTCTCCAGCCATTGATTCTTAGAGTCCCGAGAGTCCCAACCTGGAAGTCTGCATCTCCCTCCCTAACCTGACTCAGTTAAGGTGTCAAGGATTTCATGGATTGATGAGGCCATGTTTTTGTTTGGCCACCACTTACTCTTTTCCAACCTGCACCTATATCAGCTAGTAATGCCCGTCGGGGGAGGCGATGGCTAGGCATGCGCAGCACCCGACTTAGCCATCTCAATCTATGTAACTTTATAGCCTCTTCGATTGATTTTCCCTCTTTGCCCAACAAAAGGACTAGACGAATAATACTCGTTACTAACTAGTGTTCAATTAAAAAAACGCGGCTGATTGTTTTAAATCTGTGTAATAATTGTCTAACCGATATTGTTTTTTTCCTCCTCTCCTCTGTTTCCTCTTTTATTGCCTGGTTGCCTACCTGTCGTTAAAGTTTAAACAAAAGCTAAAATCTCGACGTTATCGTCGAAGAAAATTACGCCTTATAGCTTTACATGCACGTCTAACAACAACAACAGCAGCAGTGGCGACAACAAGTACACATCAAAGTTCTGCTGGTGTCGTGCAAAAATCCAAATCCCTCTGGTTACCAACACATATATGGCATGCTAAACGGTTTCATATGATTACAAAATGGGGTTGGCGTTTACCATGGGCACCAACAAATAAAATTTTTAAATTATGCCATAAAGCATCGCATAAGTAAGTGATATTTTAGTTGTGTTTTTTGTTTTTATAAAATCATAATCAATCGAATTTCATTATTATTCCTTTTTTATTGACTAATGTACTTGTGACCCTGTGGTCTGAAGATGCACACGTTTTGGGAATGTAGGTGTAGAACAACTTGGGCACATTGTGGTAGAATGTAATACCATATGACGTAGGTTTATGATAGGACGCAGCATAAATTAGTATATCATCCTTTCTTACGAATCGTGTGATTTATCGTGTGATGGCTTTACTAAAGTGAATGTATCATTTCTCACGCATATTGTGATTTAGTGTGTGTGAGATCAATTCATCTTCTTTTGTCTCACCTTCGTCTTTGTCTGATCACCTACCAACCAGAATAGACGTTCCCAGCTTATAAGTACAGTTTATTCTCACGTTTGGTGGTATAATACGATATTTTACAGGCACAAGCCAGCAGGCTTTTGTCTTTTGATATTTGCGTGGCTCAGTGAATCGGAAGGTACAATGGACAAATTGACGCATTAGCGTATCAGTCGAGTTCATTACCCCGTTATTAATTAATTTACAGACGCAGACATAACAAACTAGCAATGGGTCTATTAAATTCAGCTCAATTTATCATTATTATTGTTCCCTTGGGTTCCTAGTGGAACATGTTATTCCATACTGTTTCAGCTCTTCTTCACACGATCTCCTCCATGTCACCCTTGAATGTCCCACTCGGCGCTTCCCTTTCTGGTTCCACTCGACCACTGGCCTGACGCGCGATGTCACCCAGCGGCCACCTCAGCGAGTGTCCAATCCACCTCCACTTTCTCCTGCATATTTGTTGGGTGATTGGTTCTTGTTTTGTTGCTTCCCATAGTTTCTTGTTGGTAATTCTTTCCGGCCATCTGATCTTCAGTATAGAACGAAGACAGCTGTTGATAAAGGTCTGCAACCTGTTGGAAATATTCTTTGTGACCCGCCGCCAACTTTCTGATCCGTATAGAAGAACTGACTGACTTGACGTTTGTATTAAAATTCCGAATTTTGTTGTTGATGCAGGCTGAGTGACGAAGATTTCCAGATTGGTTTCAGGTTGATGAATGTGTTTCTCGCCTTCCCGATTCTCGATTTGACATCCTCCTCGTCTGTCCCTTCTGTAGTTGAGACAATGCTCCCTAGATAAGTGAATGAAGTAACCTCTTTCAAATCCCTCCCGTTGATGGTGATTTGCGCTGGATGTTGGTGCTGCTGTTGTTGTTGTTGTTGTTGGTTGGTTGGTTATTTTCATAACCTCCGTCTTATCTATGTTCACCTGGAGTCCTGTCTTTGCTGCTTTTTCGACCAGTTTGTCGGTTTTCGCTTGTAAGTCTTCGATTTCGTGTGACATCAAACATAAATCATCCACGCGCGAAATCCAGGTCTTCTAGGTTCTTCACGTCGGTCCATGATATCCCAGTCTTCTCGTTTCCCACTGCCTAACGCATAATCCAGTTCACCACAATAAGAATATCATTGGTGATAATAAGCACCCTTGTCTGACTCCTTTGTTTACTCGAAACGCCTCGCTGAGTTTTCCGTTGTGGATCACTTGACATGTGCCGTTGTCGTACAGCTGTTGAATAAGGTTGATGAATATTTGGGGTACACGGTAGTACTGGAGTAGTTTCCGAATTACTTCACGGTCAACGCTGTCGAAGGCCTTCTCAAAGTCTATAAAGTTGAGGTAGAGGTTTGATTGCCATTCCATGCTTTGTTCGATGATGATGTTTAGAGTTCAGTTTATTTCAGTTATAACAAATTGGCAACGGAGTTATAACACTTTATTTCAAGTATGATATAGTATTATTAACTGGATAGTGTGTCGAGCATATAAATTATTGCCACTCATAATCGTCATATCACTTTTAATCACACGATTTCACAATTTGTCTTAGATATATTTTCTCTCCATTTTATCTCTCCAACTTCCTTGTGTTGTTTTTTTCCAATTTCCGTATCTCCGGTATAGGGGTTGCATCATTCCGATTGCACGTGTACGGTGTTGAACCGATATACACAACTTCAGTGATTAACCTGCCCCTCTCTTCATCTAACTATATTAGTTTCTAATACATTTACCCTACCCCACCCTTTCTCTGTGTGACTACATGCAAGTTAATGTAGAGCTATAGCTGAGTTTCTATTCTAGGTTATTTCATTTCCTTAGTAGGGTCAATTTATTCTAGGTCTAGCTAGAATTCTCAATGAGTCTGGAATTAGGGTGACATTTAAACCACACAGCGAACTCTCTCAGAGATATACTTTGTCGGGTTAAGGATCCAATAGAGCCAATCAGGAAAAATAATATAATTTACCAAATAACATGTAATGACTGTGAGTGGGATCAATTACATAAGTGAAACTAAAAGATCGGGATCAATTAGATTATTGGAAGATAAAAATGTAGCTTGACGTAGAATGATTGACCCTACTAAGGAGGTTAAATAACCTAGAAAAAAGCTCAGCTATTGCACTACATTAACTTGCATGTAATCACAAAGTGATAGGGTGGGAAAGAGTCTGACTGAGACTGAGTTTCAATATAAAAACTTTGCACACAGAAGTGCACTATTTCAAGTTGCCACATACTTCTCTACGTAACACATAAAGGAAGGGAAAGACAAAAAAAGAAGAAATTCGAAAGAATTGTACAGAATAACATGGGAAAACATGTGTGTTTTAGTGTATCTTGCTGACTGACTGGTTTCAACGTAGAACTTTGCACCGATGTGCAGCAGTTCCAGTTGCCACTCTCCCTCCTTGCAGTACACAAACCAAGGGAAGAGAGTAAAGAGAGATTTATCAAAAGACAGACAATAAACAGAGACATTAGGCAAAATTGAATGGTAATATGGAAGACGAAGAAGAAGAGGAATAGAATTTTATTGCATATTATAAATCACAAAGAAAGTGAATGCATCTGCACCATTACTGACAACGATTTTTAGCCATATTACCAATTGTCTCCAGCACTCATCATTGGTTTTTACCATTCTGAGGACCCCAACCAGTTAGGTAGTCTACACCTCCCTACGTGACTGACTGGCTTAAACTAACTGTTGGGGATTTTATCGACGGATGAAGCCATGTTTTAGTTTGATCACCACTACCTCTTTTCCAAGCTGATTAATCCTATGTCAGCTAACATTGCCTGTTGTCGAGGAAGGCGATGGCTAGGGATGCATGCTCAGCACATGTCCTAGCCGTCTCAATTGGTGTAACTTCACAACCTCGTTGATTGAGTTCCCCTCACACCTACCTAGCACTCGACCGAAGCCTAACCTCAATATTTTACACCTTATTATGCCACCGCTTAACAGAGGAGATAGAAAGCAGACACTTATGAACAAAGACACGTTTGGACGGGGATTATTGACGACAATCAGCAACAAAGAGGGAAATATGGAGACCACCTTAAGGAGAATTCTTTACAATTGCAAGAATAAAAGTGGCATTCAATCACCTACAAACTCCACTAGAAACAAGCTTTGTCGGTTGAAGAGTCGATCCAATTAAACAATACAATCTACTTAATCCGATACCCTACAATAATTGTCAGGTTAATTAAATAGGTCAAAGTAGTAGAATGGGGTTAGTCAAACTAGCGGAACGGCATACAAACCTAGCTAAATCTAGATTAGTTGACCCAACACTAAGATAAGAAATCTGGAGAATAATTCAGCTATAGCAACACTACATGTAATTACACACAACCATACAATAGGATGATGGGATAAGATTTCAGTTTTAAAATCTAATATAATAGTGTGGGTAGAGCGAGATTGACAACAAAGGCTTTATTTATCGAATCAACTGCAAACACGTGTAATAGGAATGATTCCGCACCTGTCCAGCTGAACATCTGGAAAATTCTACTACCCCAACGATGACAAATAGGAGAGAACAAAGAAAACTTTAAAACTCAAGTTTCGAAGTTGTGTGGCTATAACTGATAGGATTATGAACAGTGAATAAATTGTATTCCAATCTTTGTCATCCAGTAAATACTGTTGTTTCACTGACTGTGTAATATATCTAATAAACAAATTCATATGGAATTACATACTACCACAGTGCTGCCCAAGTTTTACACATATCTTAATATGAATCTGTAGGTATTATCAAAAAAGACGGTTGCAGCGAAGAAAATTTTCCTTTCGACCAAGTTATCAATTAGGAGGCTGTACATTCGTGTATTTGTATTAAATGTGTTTTAGAAATTTCCAGAATTATTTCCGGTCAAATGTAATGTTAATAGAATTACCAAGTTTAATAATCAGGAAGATCCGGTAGAAAAGTACTGGAAAACTCGTTAGTTTGTATAATTACGGATTAAGGACGTAGTATTAAAAAAATAGGCAGGAAGTTCGGACATATAAAAATATTTAAAAAGAAACGGCAACCAAATCTGGTAGTGTAGATAGGGATTAAAAAACGTGGAAATAACAGAAATAAAGGGGAAGGTTGGATAAGGAAGGCACTGGGATAAGCATTACCGATCGGACTGAATTTTTATCATGGCTATTATAAGGAAAACAATAGCATAGACGTATTTATTCTGCATAAATCGGAGAAATCTGAAAGAAGCAACCTCCTCTACCTACCCACCTGGGAAGCATCGTTTCAACTACAGGCGAACGGAACTGATGAGCATGCCAAAGCAAGGATTGAGGAAGCAAGGCAAGCTTTCATTTTTCTCAAGTCTGTGTGGAGGTCAATTGCACTCAGCATGAAATACAAGATGCGGATTTTCAGCTTCAATGTAAAGTCAATGCTACTATATGAATTAGAGGCTTGGCGCCGCATCACGAAGGGCACTTTGAACAAACTACAAACCTTCATCAACAGCTGTCTTCGCTCAATACTACTCAACGTCAGATAGCCAGAAATGATCAGCAACAGGGATCTCTGGGAGCGAACCAACCCAATAGGAACCGATCGTGCAACAAATAAGCAGGAAGAAATGGAGGTGGATTGGCCATACTCTGAGAAAACAATTTATCGAGTGACATCACACGCCAAGGCATCACTCGAGTGGAAGCCGAATGTGAAGTGGCGAGTTAGTTTGTCGTCTGTGCGAGACTGACATGGAGGAGGAGGTTATGTGAAGAGGTGATGAAAGCATGTGGGCAGACCTGGAGCCAGGTGAAAGTGTTTGCAGAGAACCGAACACAATGGAGACATGCGGCTGAAGCCCAGTGTTCCTCTGCAAATTAAAGGAAACAATAGTAATAATTTATTCTGAATACAAAATAATTGAGAAAAGAATATCCTATTCGATAAATTCCTCTTCTGGCTCTACAATTATATATTTGTTTATATACGTAGACTATTCTAGAATAGTAGTCAATAACAATATTAGTGTTTTTTAAATAAAACCGATTTTGAAAATAACAGCAATGGAATTACAGTTCACTAAAGATGCTTTAATTGTAATAGAGGTATAATAGCAAATAGAATATCAACTAAAATTAAGGAAATTTCTACAAAAACTGAGGATCATTCAAACCTAGATGGCCAAGGTAAAGACATTGTCTGAACTAGCTTCTTTTTGACCCACAAGTTAGGCTTCTTAATGTGGATCCCAACAGCCAGCCTCAGCAATATTTAGTAATCGAACTCTTAAGGCGAAGTTAAGATATGTTGGTATGCGGTAAATGACTTTGAAAGTCGCCTCGTTGGAATCAATCTTGTGTTCTGTATCCACAAGATGAGATAGAATAGCGCTTTGCGAATAGATTTTGTGTGTCCTTTACTTAACCAACCATGCAGGATGACGTTCAGAAATCCGACGAGAAACACGCCTAATTGTACGGCCTATGTAACAAGCTCCACAGGAGCAGTAAAATTGTTACTTACAGATGGATACATACATAGATTGGGCCTGAACGTTTGAATGGCTAGTGCATCAGCTATACCCAGCCAGATCTCTTGATTTCATTCTCTTTGAGAGGTTTGATAGGATCTTGTATATGTGACTTTGAAGGACTTTCCAAGTGGAGCTGAATGTTCTGAATTCACAAGATGTTGCGTTACCGAGCTATATACACCCTTGTGTTCTCCCTTTGCTAGCCAGCCATTCTGGATAGTGTTTCCGAGCGCGTTTTACAAGCGGACGCATGGTACAGCCAATGTACTCTGCTCCACACGAGCGAGTAGACTGGTATATGCATGTTGAAGTGGCCCAATACTACAGCTTGTCTTTCACTTGCTGGTTGGTTGACTAATTTGTTGCAGGACAATGTTAGTCTTAGGCTGGAATGGCGAAGTATGCTTTACTGAGAGACTTCGAGACTCAAGACTCTAAATCGCTTGGTAATAAGGTTTAAACACAACTGACACTGGTTATTCTTTGACCAACAATCAATTTATTTAGTATATAATTGGTGGATGGTGACTAGCAGTGGAATTCAGGATGCGCATTTCGTCCTGTTTGGGACTCGTCAGCTAAATCTAAAAAATTCAATTGAATCAATTTCTTATCGCTCTGTGTGTTTCTTTTGTTTTTCTTTCAGTGGTTGTCTACTTTTTGATCAGAGTTATCTGCATTGTTTTCAAGTCTACGGACCTGAATTGTTGCTTGCCAATTGTCTCAATGGTATATTTCAGGCAGATTGTCAAATTGATTCATTGTCCCCTGAACTGACTGAATTGAAGACACCTGCATGGTCATGTGAACAGACAGGAATTTTATTTACAGCAACTAGTCAAAATGTAAAGGATATTTCTCGTCCTATCCTTGGACCTGTTCGTATATTATGGGGTTCAAGAAATTCGGTAAATTTTTATATTTTTATGTGATGTTTTTTGTCGTTAACTTTTACATGATGTGTGTATGGATTTGTTGCTGATTAGTTTAAGCACAATCGACTTTTTAACCAGTGGGTGGCGTTTTGAAATCTTATTCGACATACCTTTGTTTAAAGCATCAAGCGGTATCCCTATTATTATTATTATTCTCTTAGGTTCCAATTGGAACCTACGACTTCAGCAGGACATCTTCATTTCATTCTGTACTCTGCTTTATACCCTATTCATCACGTGATCTCCTCCATATCATTCTGAGACCAGCTGCCAAATCGTTTTCTACTCGATGGTCTGGCACGTGACGTAATTCACTGGACTTTTCAGCGTGCCTTGTCCAGTCCGTCTTCATTTCTGTCTAATATGTGCGTTGGGTAATTAGTCCCTGGTTGTTTTGACTGGCCTGTCAGCGTTCCTTGTTGATAACTCTGGCTGGCCATCTGGCCTATAAATACAGTAGAAGTACTTTAGATGCTGTTGCTGTCATGTATCATAACATTGTCTCCAGCTTAGACAAGGGGGCTAAATTTGTTCGCTGCACCTTCCTAGATTACATATCTGCTTTCGACTCGGTGGCACCTAGAGACATTTTGTTAAACAAGCTTGCTGAAACTCAAACTGACTGTTGGGTTGTAAAATGGCTGCGTTCGTATTTCTCAGGAAGAAAGCAATACACTGTATGTCAGGGAAAGTCGTCCATTTCGTTGCTTACTGAGGCTGGTGTCCCTCAAGGCGCTGTTCTTTCTCCTTTTCTGTTTTCTTTCTTCTTTCATAACTTGCCTCACTCTGATGAAATGAACTTTGTTAAGTATGCCGATGATCTAACTATTTCAATGCCTGTTAACTCCCAGCTAGACTGTACTAAGATGAACAGCTTTCTATAAGGAATCAGCAAATGGTCTTCGTGTAACGGCCTTAAACTTAATCCTTCTAAATGTCGGACTGTTAATTTCAGTTTCCGATGTAAACGAAAGTTAAATGAAGCCGTTGGTTCCTATGACACTTGCAAAATTGATGTTACTGATATAGAAACCAAGTCTGAAGTTAAGTATCTTGGATTAATTCTTTCTACTGACATATCCTGGTCTTCCCATTTCTTAGCGATTTCTAAAAGAATATTTCGTCTGACTTTTTACATTAAGAAGTGAAGGCACTCAGGTATAACTCAACCAACGCCTCCTCTTACAGTTTGTCAACTCGTGTATTTTACCTATTCTTCTTTACTGTTCACCTTTATTCTTTCCTGGATTGCTTCAAAAAGATTATGTCAGACTTCGTTGAACTCTGAAGACTGTCAGTCAGAAGGGTGAGTGGTATCCCATTGGGTCATATCGTTGGCATTATCACCGATAGGCATTTGATGTCATGCAACAGTTTCGCTAGAGGAATTTTGTCAGACTCTGAGCACCCACTCTACCAGCAGCTCCAACCTTGTGTCTCCTCAGGTAAAACAAGAAGTCTTTTCAGACGACTTTATGCACGTACGTCTAAGTATAGAAATTCCACCATACCATATTTAGCACGTACTTAATGTGATGAAAATAGTATTAGGCATGAACTAACTAACCTTCCTTGCACTATTAGATAAACCATTTCCTCCACCCTTACAACATCAACCTTTATTGTTATTGTACTTCTTAAATTTATAATTCTCTCAATTTTTTGTTTTTGTTTATTTTTTTCATAAGTGTGAACATCATTTAAGCTGTGTTATAACTGTTAATTTTGTATTTCCCCTCACCATACTATATCAACAGAACTTGAGATTCAATGCTCTGTAACGTGCTAAGATGTTCAAACTGAATTGACAATACTGTTTGAAACAAACTCACTGTTCATTATAATAAAGGTTTTTGCATTTCCCGATGAATGAAAAAACAAAACAATATTGTTTTTACTGACGTTTCGCTATTTAATGCTAATAGCTTTATCAAAGCATTATTAAACCTGAAATTTTGTAAATTCCGGTTTAATAATACTTTGATAAAGCTATTATCATTGGATAGCGAAATGTCAGTAAAAACAATATCGTTTTGTTTTTCATTCATTGGGAAATACAAAAACCTTTATTATAATGAATATCATATACTCAATGCCCAAATTTTTTCAAACTGCTAAAAGTGAACTTGGTTTGCACATATAAAACTCACTGTTATTATTATTAGTATTATTATTATTATATTTAATATTTTCAATTCGCGCTTCGAATATTGACTTTATATCGTAAACGTGGACAAATTCCTCTGGTTAATTTAGTTTTAATTTTTAACTTTATTTTGAGTAACCTTCCCTCTTTACCAGCTTTTTTATTTCTGGTTTAGCTATGTAAAGGAGTGCGTCGGCTGGGGATCGAACCCCGGACCATGTGCATGGTCGGCGGGCGTCCTAACTGCTTTGCCACCGACGCTTGTATATGATATGGTTTTCAAGAAGTGAGAGAATTGGACCATAGGTGTGAATGCATAAAATAGTAATAGTAGTATGAAATGCCATTAAAATATTTATGATCATAATCATAGTTAAATAACAAGTTGCAAAACAATTAGTGTCATATGTAGAATAATTCATAGGATGGATAGAACTTGAAATGGGTGTGCAATTATAAGATTAGTAGACAAATCGAATAAAATAAAAACGTTACGTAATATTGTGTGAAATTTGATAACAGAATTTAATGTTGCAAGACAGAATTGATTTAGAATGACAAGTGGAACAAGTGAAATAATACTGGGGACAGTTCAAAGTGAGAATAGTAATAGTAACAATTGACGTAATAAAGGAAGAGAATACAAATTGAATAGACAAAATGAAAAGAAACAAAAAATTGGTAGAGCCAAAATATGATTGGGGATTACCATACTTTAGCATAGATATATTAAGACGATGAAAGTTGGAGGGGTTGAAAGAACTTGTTCTGTACACAGAGATCTGTTTCGTTAACCAAAGCGTCAGCAATACAGATGAGTCGGGTACGTAGGGATTTGGGTAAATTACTCTTTGCCTTGTGGATGACTTTAAAGGTGGAAGCTATAGAGATAGGGTGATCATTATCGACCAGATGTTCAATGATTGCGCTTCTCATTGCTCCATGCAGGATAGTGTTCTTGCACCCTCTTGGATAAAACTCGATTCGAATGACCGATATACCTAGCTCCAGATGGGTAGGTGAATTGATAAACACACATAGAGTTTGTAAACAGCGGGCTCTTGTACTTCAGATTACTGAACAGTAATGGTCGACTGGTAAAGGCTTTTTTCAAAAATGCAGCAAGGAATGTTCTTTTCAGGCACTGTGATATCCTTCTTTTCATGATATTGGAAGCTAAGTCATCTTTGAATTCCAAGCTCATGTACAGTATTTTCTTGAGTGCGATGACAAGTCACGTTTCATAGGATTTGAATTTATATTCTTGTCTATAAAGTGTGGTGGAAATCCATTTTCTATTAGGATTTTCGTCATTTTATGCATTCACACGTATGATTCAATCCCCTCACCGGATATAACTTTTTAAAAACCATATATATATACGACTGTACAGCTTGATGATAATTTCTTTGTTGAAAAGAGTCTCTTCGCTGAATCACCAGTTGTTTTGATTTTCTACTTTTAGTTAAAACGATACTGCCAAGATAAGCGATAGAGATGATTGTTTTTAGTAGTACCCTTCCTTATTATGTCCCTAAAGATGGAGAGTTACACACAGAATTTATTGACCTACGCCGTTGAGCATCTGCTGATTACAACAGAGCAAATAAAACAAACCACAGAAAGAGATGATTATACTCTACAACAAGCTCTGGCGGTTCGCGCGAAATTCCTGTCTAGCATCCGTATCAAAATATGGCGTCAAAGAACTGTTTTGCCAGGAGTTAGGGTCTCAGTATCACTAATGACTGCCTAATGTTTGGGGAACGAGTGGTAATGGCTGACACCCTGCAACAGACTGTGTTGAAGAAGCTTCATAATGCGCACCTAAGAATTACGTACATGTAGTCTGTCGCCAGGAGTTATGCCTACTGGTCAGGGATGGATGCTGACACAACAGAATTTGTCGACCGGTGCCAATTATGTCAACCCGCATCCAAAAAGCCACCATGAGTACACCTGAAACGATGGTTGACATCATATCATAATCCGGACTACATTTAAACTTCTCTGGACCGGTAGCAGTGGTGTTTATTTTTACGGGATGGGGCTGCTAGCCTCATGTCCAACCTTCCCTCTTTATTAGTTTTATTACTGGTTTAGTGAGAAAAAAGAAGTGCGTCACAGTGGCCGAAGATTGAACCCCGGACGACATGCGTAGTCGGGGGGGGGGCATTCTACTATTGTGCCACCGGCGCGTTGAGATAGTAGAAGTGGTTGAATAATTCTCTTTTCTATGCATACCTCCCGGTTTTTTTTTAACTAACTGATTGGTTAGGAGTTTCAGTGATTCAGAGGAGATGAAAGCGTATTGCCTTTGGTAGATTATGCTTCCCTTTGTATAGATTACTTTGAAGGAGGAGGCATTTGTTGAGATACTGGAGTGACCAGTAGTGTTGACAAGGTGTTCGATAATCACACACTCCTTATCAAAGCCATGCAATACTGCCCTTTGGTTTGTGGAGGTTTGGCTTACTGTGAACTGATTTTGCTCCGTTGTCATCTCTAACTACTAAATGCAGTAATTATATACACATATATAGAGTTTTTTGTTTTACTAATATAAGCGTTGTTGTCATGGTAACCCAGGATCAATAATCATTGTAAACAAAACTGTGAAGTTTAAATCAGTAAAAATGAATATTTTATATTATATTTTTGCAGACATTATTGTTGTTGTATGGGTTAGAAGAAGAAAAACAATATTCTGTAGTAGTAATTGATAAAAGAGATACTAATTATGTCATGCATGACCTCAGCTTTGTTAGCTCGAAGAAATCTGAGATGATTATCAATACTCATCAATAGAAACCTTAATAATAAAAAA